TGGAAAAATGTATTCTGCTGTTTTAATTACACAAGGTATATTTAAAGAAAATATTAATGAAAAATTGCAACCATGAATTAAAAAAATTACAGAGATTATGCCTTATGTTGTAATGTGCAATTGCTTGCTTGCTGACTAATGTGCTTACTGTTTTAGAGCTTGTTGACGTGTATCTGTGATAACTGTGTGTTCAGTCAAATAATTCTGAAATCTTTATGAATTAATAAATTTATGTTAACCAATGTACAAACAGGAGTAATTTGTTTTCAAACAATTTGTTCTTGCAACTAATTGATAGTTTTATTTAAACAATTTATTTAAACAACATTATTAGTTGTAGTATTCGCTTTTCTTCTTCTCTAGCAATTGATCAGTTGTGATCAAGTACCTAATTCCCTTTAAGCCATAATTTCTCCAATAAGTCTAGTCCTCTAGTAAGTATTGTATCACTACTGATCATCTCAGTTTCACGTTACTAAGCTAATATTCAGTGTTTTGTTTTTGTTTTTATCATTAAATTACATATAGACTAATATTGTTTCGTGTGTTGTATTTTTATGCATTCCTTTACAGATTAAGGGGAATTTGTCTGTATTACGGATAATGAAATGTTAAAATTGCGAAGTAAAGTATCTCGAATTTGTTTACAGTCAGCGTGAGAATTAGATATTTTTAACAGTTATGGCGCGTGCTTAGTACTTCATGTTAAAAACACAGAATATTTATTTGTACTTTCATTTTGCAGAACAATTAGTGACATATAGTTTGCATACTTTATTGATTAGCATAAACTATATTTTCTGACATTAAAATTTTTTATTGGTGTGAAATACATGTTTATCTGGAAAATTGTATTAACAGTTGGTAAACACGTTATATTAGAAGAATGATGTGTTATGTAGGAAGCACTTCTCATAATTCTTTATTTTGATGTGTTTAAAAGCTACAAAATCCACATACACATGCACAATGTATTATTATGTTTATTATTCTGCTAATAACATTCATTATAGTTTCATTCCCATCAAGAACTAAGTGGTAGGATTAATGACAAATTTCAAGGAATGACTTCCAAGAAAGTAACTCAGTTTATTTTTAAAATTTTAATTCATTTAGAAATAAATGTGAAAACTAGTTAACAATTATGCAATATTACAACTGCTACTTGTTCATAAACCTTCCAAATAAAACATATTGACCTACTAGATCTTTTTTTTGTTCTTTTGGATACTTGAGTTTTGTGTGTTAAGAAATTACCAAGAGTGCGTTTTTCTCGTTTGTTTGTTGTTTTTCGATCTTATTATCTTTTGGATGATATTAAGATTACTCAAAAAACATGATTGTAGATTTTACAAAAAATATTTCATTAGAAAAGAAATAAAGCATTTTATTTTTGTTTACAAATATCAGTGAATTAAATTTTGCTATAGAAAAAAAATTGAACCATGATTATTGCGTAAATACTGACATGCTTAGACTACTTTTGAATAAATTCATGATTTTTGTCTAATAGATTTAATTTTTTAAGAAAGAATTTTGGTTGTTGATTTACCAAGTTTGTTAATGTCTGAAACCAGGCATGAAGGCCTTGATATTTTTAATCACAAAGCAGAGAACACACTTGAAGTTGAATTGTCTCAAAATTTCCTTTGAAAATAAAGACTGAAACACATTGTAGCATCGTTTTTGCAATAGAATTTATCTGTAGTATTTATTTTGTTTGCAATACTAACTAGTTAATGTAGTAAATGTTATATTGGTTTTAAAAGAATGCATGTGATTTGTTATTTACACATTAGCACATTACATTTCAATTACAGATATTTATTTTGTTGGAAATTTTGTTCTGTGTCTGCTTATTATCCCATTTATTATCTACAATAAAATTAATTAAGTTTCTTTACTTACAGAAGATAAAATAAACTTGTCCCTACATAAGTGACTGTTAATCTTATTTTTTTGTTAATTTATTACTAATTATTTACACTTGTGCATTACAGTGTGTCAAGTCATTTTAAAAGCATAAAGATTATTTTTTACATTTCTTTTTTCTCAATATTTTCGTCTCTTGCTATGTCCTCTGTGACTTGTGTGTTTTATATATTTTTCAATTTTTTACTTTTACTTTTACTATTCAATTTTTAATTTGTTTTGCCAATTCTTGTGCAACTTTTTAATTTTGTTGGGCAATTAAATTTTTATCATCACTTTAATAGAGCATAATCTAACATTTCATTTGGATAGCATGAAACTTTTACATTGAGAAGACACTATCATTGTTCTGCAGTGATTGGTGACTAATGTCTTTTGTTCTTTATGCATTATTATAACTTTATTACAAGACAGTTATAATTTTTATATTATATACATTTTACTTGTGCTTTAACTTTTGTTTAAATTTGCTAGTCTTTTGGAAGAATGCTGATAGCATGTAATTTGCTTTTACATATTTTTGCACTTAAATTTCATATTGTGTGTATGTGTGTGTGTAGAATCCCATGAAGGTTATTGAAATAAAGTACAACATATTCTGAATTCTAGTGTTTAAACATGTGTGTTACCAGCCAATAACTTGCATTTGATTCAACGATATCAACTAGTGAACAGACCTTGCGGTTTGCTGGTTCTGCATTTTTGCATTTTGGTGATTTGGATAAATGTTTACCTTAATCTTGGATCCTATTGGTAATTGTAAATTGCTAACATTCATTAATGTTTGGAGTGGTTTGATAAATGTGGTACGGGGGGTACAGTTTTAATGACTGCACTGTCCAGAAAGATATATAAAAGGTAACAGGATAATAAAATAAATATAGTCATTCCTCTTATTATTCCCTCTCCTATTCATGTGCTTCATAATTTGGGATCTAGATCAAATGTGATGGATTTCTCTGAAAATTGTAGTGATATGTAACTGCTGATCAAAGTATGCTGCATTCGCCACTGCCTCTGAATTAAACAGCACAACTTTAAACCTCGGTTAACTGTAGATACTTGGCTGTTTCTGCAAGGCTTGGAGACGCAGCGTCCTTGACAAACTTCGGTTTCTTGCGCCATACTGCGCACGGCTGTGTTTTAAATATAAAGAATGGGGTTGCGTCCATCCGGTTGGACGATCGACCAATCAGGCAAGGACCCTCCGGGGCGGGGTGGGGTGAGGGGACCGCCCGTGGTCAAACGTCATGGAGCAATGAGAACTACGCCCTGGCGCAATTGGACGACACATTAAAATACAGTGGGACCTCTGTGTATCGAAATTCTCTACAAATCAATTTTTTTCTGTTCCTTGAAAATTCCGTTTAAAAAAGTCTCTGTATAACAAACATGATTGTTATGTATTGAACTTATTTTCTGACATGACGTTTTTTTAAATAAAAATATTACTGCAACTATAAATTATTTCTAAAAAAACTAGTATTTAATTTGGAAGGAGAATATTACTATTGCTAAAAATGTTACTTATCTGGGCGTTTGTATATTTGAATAAACATTTATATATTTTTTTAAAATTTCAATTCAGTGACTTGGAGAGGTATATATGCAATTCTAATTTATTGCTTAATTTTCCATTTTACCCAATTTTTCCAAAATTTGCAAAAGTTTCCTAATTATTTCTCTGAATCAAATATTTTGAAAGAATTGTCAGATTCATGATATATAGAGGTCTGACTGCTGATGTTGCACTCGTAGTGATGTGGTGTCTGGATTGACGCAACGTGGCTCCAAGCACCTTGGGGTGTTGGGCACATTGCACGTGGAGTAAATCCTCCATTAATTTGTCAGCATTGATTTGCAGATGATAATTTTGTCTGCCTCTTTCTCCCTCTTTGCTCCTCAGTCCCAGTTGTCTTCCTTTGTAAAAATAAAATAAGGAAATGAATGAATAATTTAAAAAAGGAGCAGTATGACAGCCAAAACATTGGCAACTATGCCTAGGACGTGGTATGCTCCAAATATCTATTATCTACAGTCGTGGAAGCCTATACTTTCAGTTAACTGCTTGTTTATGGAGGTAGCTTACGCCTTCGCACCTTTCCTTCCTCTGGACAGGTGATCACAGTAGTAGTTTACCTACGACTTCCACAAAAATGAGTAAAAGGATGTGGGGATGAATGATTATAGATGGGATGATGCAGACGGGAAACATGATTTTATGATAAGTCGACCACCTTGTGAAAACACATCCAAATCCTCAGCCTTTGCCTCCACGCTCTTGGAAGCAGTGTTAAGTGCCTACACTACTGAAGCTGGCCATGGGTTTTGAAACGGCCATGAAATGAGAGGGATAGTATCCTTGTTAGCACAATCTGCAGCTACGCCTCTGCTTGCATTTTGCTATGAATAGTTACTTTTCTTTATAAAGTATTTTATTTATTCATGTACTTATTATTAATTGCATTTCTTTCAAAGCTTCTCTTCCCTCAGCAAAGACTGTAATTTAGTGAATAATTCCTGTTGAATGTGTAATATTTGATGTGGTATTTAGCATGTGTTTGTTTTTGAAGTGTTATGCAATAACATTAAGGTTCTAATTGATGTATTTTCTTCAGCCAAAATCTCTATGAATTGAAATATTTTGAAGTTATTGTATTGTTTTTTCATTTCTAATTTTTAAATCATGTTGCATGCTTAGTCTGCATGCTTGTTTGTTGTAGTAATTTAGGTACAAAGCAACACACATTTTCTCTGATTTTTATCCTATGAATTTGTGTTGCAATATTTCTTCTCAGAAAGTATGACATATGTTGTACCTAGCACACTGTAAAGTATGATATTAGTATTTTTGAATTTCAGACTAAATGCTGCATTTGACATTTCAGAAATTAAAATATATTTTTTGATGGTAACAGAATTAGTTTTTAAGATACCATATCTTGAACAATATGGATTGTCCATTTTAAGAACATTTTGGCATACTGCTTGCCCAACATCAATTCAAAACATGTGTATTTGCTTTAAAAATTATAAATTTTATTGAAGATAACCTGCTGTGTTGGCAGGCGAGCTGTACTACATGACCAGCAAACGTGGCCGCCTTCACCTTCTGCATGATGGTCATCGTTACTACTTACATCGTCAAGGAGTTAGTGGGACTCGATTCTGGCGTTGCCTTCGACATCGTACAAGTGGGTGTCGTGCTTATGTGAGTGTTGAGTATGGTGCAAAATCTGCCACAAAACGTGGAAAAGACCATAACCATACACCTCCGTATGAACGTCTGGACCACAACTGGATTCCGGTTCCTATGAAATTATTGGCAGGAGGAAATGTTGATGATACAACTTTTTTTGAACCAGTACAAGCATTCTATGGTGTTGGATCAAAAGACAATCCTGAAAGTGACATGGATTCTTTTGCTGAAGTTGATTTCATTCCAGAAGGTGACAATATGCACTTAACCCAGAAAGCTGATAGAGAATAAAAGAAGATTGTTGTATGACTTCTAAGAAGAAACTATTTCTTAAAATTTCAATTATTTATATAATTGAAATCAGATAAGAAGACATTTAATAAAGACAACATTAACCTTTATGTGAAGGTTTCAAATGTCAAATTCTGCTTTTACATGTACAAACTTGGTGTGATTCCTGAAATAGTTTATTTTTATCAAGCTCAAATTGAATGGCACATATAATATGGCATTCATATAAGAGAAAATGGACTTCTCTGTCAGACGATATTGGATCATCAATGAAGAACCATCTGCTCTCTGATTCCAATGAATGTGAAGAAAATATTAATTGTTGATTGTGATAGATCCTGCATTCCTTTTAAAGTGACTATTTTTAAATGTGAAATTCATACTCAACTTTTGAACTACTTTTCTATTGGAAACATCATGTTCTGAAAATAATGATAGAACTTCCAGTGAAGTGTGAAATAAATATATTTTTTTTTATCTTTATGCTTCTGATATTCCATCATTTAAATAGTTTATTTTTACTAGTTTTTGTGTCAAATTAAATGGAAAAATAAATTGTCTTCTCTATTTTAGTGAAATTATTACCATTAACATCATCATCATTTTCATCTGTAATCCCAGAACTTTCTTTCCATTAATTTTACTTATGACAAGCTTGTGTGAGCATGTAATTAATATCATAATTAAAGGGCTTTCTTGGTAAATGGAATAATCCAACCTGAATTGGTCCACCGCAAAAGAAAGTGAGATATATTTTTATTTCTGCTCAGGTTGTGAAAAATCAAATAGAAGAAATTTCTTGGCACTTATAGTGTGCTTTAAAAAATAAAACTATTTTTGTAATGGTTAATACATTCTATGTTGTTTAAATGTAATTAGGAAATTTAGTGGAAATAAGAAATTTAACCAATTAGGGATGGGTTCTTCCAGGCCAACTTCGCTACGTGTGGAGCATTCGTGGCACACCCCAGCTTGTGTTAGATGGCTACATCTACAGCTTGAGTGAGGATTTTGGCTTCAAAAAATATTGGAAATGTACTGAGTACATCAAAGCAGGTTGTCGTGGTTTCTGCAAAACGGAAGGAGAGAAATCAGCTACAATTACTAAACCTCACAACCATGCTCGCTGCTTTGACAAGATACGTGCCAAGGAAGAAATTGCAAGGCGAAAACTTCTTACTCTTCGTTTGCTGGGATCACCTGTCGCCAAGTAAAGGCTGTTCACTGTGTATACACATTATGCTTTTGTTAGCATTTGTGTACTACACTCTGTCAGCTATTAGAATTCAGGAATTATGTAGCACAAGATTGTATTAAAGTCAAAAATACGTTTAAAATCTAAATTATTGTGAACTTTTATCTCAGATTGTATTAAATTTGACAATTCATGAATAATTAAATATTACTGGTGCTGAAAGCAATTTTAAATCTGTTTTTAATATGTTAATTACACAATACATTTATGTTGTATATTAATTTGGAATATTGGAATCAGATGTAATATTTGTAAGTGTATAATAATTAAAGTAAGAATTATTCTGCTTACTTTATGCATCTGGGGCAGCAAAATCTGTAATTGAATGTGCTCTGGTAGACTTGTATAAACTTTGTGAAATTCTTCATTTTCACCGTTCATTTTTTTGGCTGTTCTTGTTTTTCAGGCTATTGTATCACTGAAAGTAAAATACCTCACAACCTACAAAATATTTTGTACTTGAAGGTTTTTCTTTAAATAATTTTGGGGTATATTAAAAAATCTGAAATGATGTTGATGCAAAATCTCTCGTTTTTTTGCTGTTATTTTGTGTGTGTGTGTGTTGTATTTAGAATTAGGAACAGAACTATGTACATTGAAATAGAAAAATGATAATTGCTTCTAAAAAATATCTAAATCATTCTTGGATATCACAAGTAGTCTCTAGTTCTGACCATGAGCTTACATGTTTAGGATATTTGAATGTGTATGCATAATGGAAAATTAAAGCTGACAAACTAGAGGGCCTGATGTTTCCATTGTATCCTACCACTAAAATAAGTGTAGTGAATCCATAAATTCACTGATTTATTTGGAATAAAACCCAACTATTGTACATTTTCTTATTATTGGGAAAATATTTAGTTGTTGCTTCTTTCTTCCAAAAATATCCAGTAGAGAACAAGACTTGCAACCTGAGGTGTAATTTTTTTTAAACATTGATTTAAGTTGTGATGATATGTAATGTATTAAATATTAACTGTATTGTGGCCAATTGAAGACAGAACATGATTCGTATTCCATATACAAATGCGAAATAGAGAAGAATTATAGATTGAAATTCTACCAATCATTGCTTCACGAGTGAAATAAATAGTTACTGGCAATAGTAATAGAATGGCTGAATGCAAATTGTCCTCAGATTTTAATTATTTATTGATTTTTATTTATAAATATTTTTTACTTTTTTATTTTAAATATTGCCACATTGGTTTTATACATTCTTGTCATAAATCATATAAAAAACTAAGTGGCGAATTCTTTGCATTTAATACTTATGAAACTATGAATGAATAAAATTATAACAAAAATGTTTTTCTTAAATTAAGTAATGACAATGTCATATATTTATGTGTAATACTTTAGGTTGTGTTCCCGAGGACTTGTCATTTGTGTGTGTGTGTATGTGGTAAAATATTGTGTGAAATAATGTGTATACATTTGTACTGTCTGTGAAACTCTGTATGATTCTGTAGTATTACAATATTATATCACTGTGCCATTAGAGTGCTTATTTTATTAATCCATTCCTCAAAGTTAGAGCGGCAGCATAATGGAAGAAATTAAAGTGAATGGACATTGCGTTTAAACAAAAGATATGTATTGTTTGTATAATACATGAACTTATTTTATGTGGTTTCTTTTTTTATGTTGTAGGTCCCCTTGTTCCTCAATATGTACACAGCCGCAAAGGAGGATTACAGCTGGTTCTTGATGGCTTCTTATATACTGTGCATCAGCAACAGGGACGCAACAAGTATTGGCGTTGTGTTGAACGTGGAAAACTAGGGTGTCAGGGGTATTGTAAGACTTTCATGTTAGAAGAGGGGGAAGTTGTTCAAAGATTACGTTCACATAATCATGGTCGACAGGACGACAAAATACGTGAACGAGTAAATGCTACACGGCTTCGCCTACAGATCCTTCATTCGTTATCTCAGCAGCAAATGGGTATTACAAATCCATATCCAGCTCCCAGCCCAAATGCATCATAGCCAATGCAATAAACCTCTCCTTTTTTAACATTGTTTTAGTAGATTCGGGAAATCACTGTTCTGGTTGTTATAACTCATGTTATAATTTTATCTGTAGCCTGATAGAAACCATGGTGTTATTGCCAAAGCCTATATCCTTGCAGCGCCTGTGGACATATATACATTTAACTGTTATGAGTTCTGAGTCTTTAATATTAATCATTGACTCTTATTCAATTTCACCTGTTTAATAATTTAAAATAGTATTCTGTGTTGCTGCATATATGTCTTTGTTGCATTATTTCAGGATTTCAAAACACATATGTACTGTTAATTTAGTGTGTGTTTCAAAGAAAACTAATTTGAAGAAGAATCCTTACTGGACATACACTCTGTCACTTAAAAAGACGTTAGAGGCATATAATCAGTAGCACAGTGTATTTATTATTAGGGCATCTGGTTTAACTGTGAACACAGTATAATTCTGATACATCTCACACAAATGTAAGGTGTTTCCTGGAATATAATTTACTTATTTTAATTTATATATAATGGAATTATAGTGTCAGGGTAAAAAAGTTGTTACATTTTTATGTTTTGTAGGTTTGTACGTCTATTTGCAAGTATTGTGGAAGGGTAAATACTTGCATTATTCATGCAGCTATTAAGAGGCACTGTTAGAAGGGAAGTAGGCAGTGTCATCTTTGAAATTGACTGCAATATTTGTAGGTCTCTGTACTTCCCTGTGATTATTATTTTCATTAAAGAGAGAATGGAACTATGTGAGTTTCTTAATGAATAAGGGCAAATGATCCTGTCCTCCACCAGTTTCAGAATTACCTAACTTTAAAGGAATTATTTAATTTTTAAACTTCAGATAAATGTTATGGATTGGGTGTATAAAACATAATTAGTCATGGTAAGTAGAAAGATACCTCTGAAACATCCAACTTGATAATGAAGTCAGTTCAAAATATCAATGAAAAATATGGTGTTAAAAAATCGATCTTGTGGTTTAATATTCAGAAACTTCAATTCTCAACCAACAAGTGGAAATTGAGACAAGAACTACTTACACCTCACAGCAATTATATTATCGTGAAAAATTTTAAACATCAATTAAGTGAATTGAAACTTTCTGCAAATGAGTAGAATGCCAACTATTTACATAACATTTTAGTGGAGAATATTTTTATACTACTTTGGTCCAAAGATATATTTGGAAAATATTGTATTTCGAGCATTTCATTTGTGTCTTTTCAACAAATTTCATGTAAGCAATATGTTCTCATGCAAACATTTGTTTAGTTTACAAGGGTGTTATCTTAACCCGCAAGAAGATGTGCCAAATCCTACTGTAAATTATTACAAGGTGTGTCCGCAATGCCCCCCACAAATTTTACCACATGCATACATGCCAAAATAATGATTCAGTACGAAAGAGGGAGTAAGAAAATTTAATTTGTTGCCTAAATTTCAAGTAGAAAGAAATTAAAACTGTTTGCTTTTTATTCAATTTCAGAAAGAATCTTAATCTACTCATAACATACTCTTCATAGATTATGATTAAAGAGTTCTTGGGCTGAAGAGAATAGTTGCATTGAATTCATCGTCCCTTTCCATAAAAATTGGCACATGCAATTTGACCTCTCTTCTACAAAACAAACGATTGCCTTCCTGGAAACTTATATAAAGGTGCCACTGTGTGCATTCTATAGACATGGTCATAGTGGTACATGAGTATGCTAAATTTTTCCTATTTTTTGTTCTCTTTTGCTTCTGATATCCTAGTTCACGTAAGTGCTGCCAAAAGTTATCAGACTTATCATAAGATGCTATTAAAAATTGAAAATGATGATGTAGAGTCCATTATCTCTCAAACCTCAGATCCTATCTTTTTACTTTGTTTAAAATTAACGACAATAAGGTATATTTTAAGAAATATTCAAAGACCCTTTTTGATTATTTTGTATGTTTGTTTTTTTTAATTTCAGTGTACTTTTCACAGGTGAAATGGAAAGTTGTTTGGGAGGTATGAATGGGGCCATTCCAAGACAATTTTGGAGAATGCAGTGCGTGACTATCTTGAATTTTGATGAACTTTTGTATGTTAAGCTTCATATGTTTCTATATTCCTATGTCTCAAAGGAACTTTTGTGAAGTTGTAAATTTATTGATGAAATAGTTTTTGAGATATACTAGCGGTTTGATCCCGTGCAGCATCGTTATCCAGTATGACCATTACATTTTAGCAACTGAGAAACAACATTTAGTTCTTTGTTATTGCTAACTAGTGAAACTGAGCCAGTCCTGGTGACCGAGATCATTAAGGCAATAGTGCTGTAGCGATCTCTCGGACCGAAGGATTGCGGGTTCGCTTTCGGGCATGGTTGTAATTGTGTTCATCCTTTTACCCCCTATCATCACAATATCATGTCATCCTCGCAGTTACCATACCGTTGAATGCAATACTGGTTGCTACTGACCTAGGTGCTGTTGCGACCTTAAATTTAAAAAAAATGAAACGGCTTCAACTGTTTGCTCCATTCGGTGGAACTATTGTCAGTTTTACTTTCTCGCCCTTACATCCGTGAGAAGAGAAAGTATTGTAATCGTGCGCCAGTAAACGGCGAATTTTGCAATAGAAAAACTTGTTGCCGGGCTCTCTGGTGACGAAAAAGTGGATAAATCTTGTTCATTTATAAAAATCCATGTTTTGGGGGTCCTTGATACCGAAAAATCGATTGACGGGAAAACTTGTGTCCGTCCGTCAATTGTCAACGCCAGCGCCCTCATAATTCGTTCTCCACCATTGATATACCCAATCGATTAGCCAGATGTCGAGGCGCTTTGAATTTGAAAACATTTTAATTTTAGGGGATACCTTACCTGGAGCTTCTGGGGCATTTTCCAAAGTAAAACTGAAATTTTTTTATCGAATATTGTTGGGGATAGCCTAAAGGACGCTTAAGAAAACGGCGCAGGTCTCATTTTCGTTGAAATAACTGATTTATAAAAAATTGCTATTTTTTTTTCTTCGGCGTCTTCCTACAACCAAAGAACGAGTATTGAATATAGATATATTTTCCGTGATGAAATTATTCTTTGAAGACAGATTTTAAAAAACTTCATGTACAATTTTTCAAAAATTTGAGTAGTTGAACAGCATAAGCATAACTTGAGGTCAAGAGTTTACAGTGAAGGGAGCTAATCAAAAATTCATTCAATCCTATTAATTTGAAATAAAGTAATTATTGAAAAACTCCTAATGCGTTATTAATAATAATTTCGTCTGATCGTGATTCACTTTTAACAGTCGACTAGTTATAAAAAGATTACTACAAGAAGAGGCCGCTTTGACAGACACTGCAGGCAATATCACTGCAAGTTATATCAATGGATGTTGTCAGTGCGTTAGTTTACAATTAGCTCAGTTGCAAATGGCTTCATGCAATGTCATCGCTTTGCATGACGTTCGTTTGTGTCCCGTTAGTCAAAGTTTATTAGAGTAACTCCTCTATAACTTGGGACGTAAACGTTGAGTGCTAAATGGTGAAACTACGGTGTAACAAAATCGCATGCCACCACGGTGAAGTTATTCACGTGACCTCAGTCATTTGTGAGACTATAAATTTTGACGCACACTAAATTGTACTCCACGTCCAATCTCAATCTGTTAAATCAGACGAAAACAGAAGACTGCTATTACATTTAAGACTGCGTAGGCCCCTAATTGACTTTGAAGTAATTACATGAAGTATCCAAAAGTTATTGGCAATGGAAGGCTGGTAAAGTTGTTGGGGGCAAAAATAAGAAATTTCTTTTTTTGTATTCCAGCATTACAAAAGAACCATTTCTGTTGCAAGAAATCACAAATGATGACGTATTAGATTTTATGTCACGAATGATTGCGTCATCACACATTCAGCCAATCGGGGGGAGGTAGAGCTATACTCGCACGATGTCAAATACCCGAGTCGTCACAGGGAAGTTGTTTCGTAAAATTAAGTTTGATTCTCTAATAAACGCAAAAAACTTAGTATGCAACTCGTTTAAAATGTTGATTTATTACATCGCTTATATTAAGCTCTGTAACATCAGGTTTTTAAGATATTGACAAAAATTAATTTTCATGGAACACCGTTCAACGCCTTTTTATCCCCGTGGTTTTTGTATTTTTCACCCATTATTTTTGTCGTCTGTGAAAAAAATATATTATAGGTAATATTTTAAATGTATTACTTTGCCATCAGTGTCAGTATTTGTTACTGTGCGGACGTTCAAGGTCTCTTGACAAGCCTCAAAGTGGAAAACAACATTGAACCATGGCGATTGTTCACCGAGTCAACTACACAGGTTTGAAGGCAGTATTATTACAAAATGGAAACAAATAAGCATCAGTACTGGTTAGACATTCTACCCGCCTGAAAAGATATATGAAACTATCTCGCTACTTCTTGAAAAAATGCTATCACGAGTATAAACAGTGTTTCTATGGTGATTTAAAAACTCATCACCATTCTCATGGGAACGTCTGCCAGGGTAGATCAAATACTGCTGTTTTATATCTGCGAGTGGAACAGTAGTGAAAGAAAGCAGCATTACATACAATTGTCATATCAAAACGATTGACGAAGTCTCTTGTCTTTCACCACTGAGGTTCCTGGTTCGATTTCCGTAGAAAATCATGTGAAATTTGTTACGACAAAACGAGTCTGCATGCTTCACAGCGGCTAGTCCAGCCCCTGTGAAGTGCCCTATACCCTACTCCAATCCTAATTCCTTTCCAATTCTGGCCGCTGAGTAGTGTCGCAGGGGCGCGTACGCAGAGATGCTACTTGGCGGTCCTCTTGACAACTGACTGCGACGAGACGTGACAGTTATGACATTGACATATTAATAGAGGATAACTCCGAAAGCTCAAAGCACTCAACGCCGAGATGCGTTGTGTCAACTGAAGACACAACATTTTTTTTAAAAAATAGAATGCACCCAGGAAATAAAAAAATGTTCTTCATGTGCCGTTGATTGACCTTGGCGGGATGTAATCGTGCAACCGCTTCACATGAAGCTAGGACACATGAAAAATTTCGTGCAGGCGCCAGGCAACGACTCGAGTGCTTTTCGGTACCTTTGTACCTTTGTGCCCCAAGTTTCCAGAGTTGAGTTATGCGAAAGTGAAAGGTGTGATCACAGGCCCACAAATAAAAAAGGCAATTGCTGGCAGCCATTTCCAGGACTTAATGAATGATACTAAAAAAGTGCATGGTTTTATTCAAATCAGTTGTAGCCAATTTCCTTCCAATTAAGAGAACTGATCGAAATCGTTTGTATGTATCTATACGTTTCCAGACGGCCATGAAACATGAACACATATTACGTACATCAAAAACATATAATCAGTAAACGGATGAAATAAAATTGTAAACGAATGATTATTACCACTTGTTAGACTATCATGTTAATATTTGTAGTATAATAAGTTAGATTTGAAACTATTACCCTACTTGGCATCAATCATCTAGCCCAGAAGTCGCTTTGTATTGCACAGATATGTTCATTCATTTCAACGTGACAGCTCAGAGTAATCACTCGTTTTGGCAAAACTCCTTATTTCTTTTGGAAAATCAAGAAATTATTTATAATTTAAAATATATATATTCTTCTTTAGACGAAAATCTCCTTCAACATAAACAAGTATGGCCATAATCATGTTTGACACCAGCTGACAAATAGAATTACAAAATATTTAACATTAATAAATGTTTTGCGGGTAAAACATTTGGTCTTAGAATATTACAAATATTAAAAATGTAATCGTCAATTGTATTTATCCGCTCTGGAAAGTACACCAGCAAAACGTCAGAGTCAGAACTGAATCGCCTTTCTCTTTTCCAACATTAACACGTGTTGTTCTCTCATACAAGCTCTTACTTTTCGTACGTAGTAATGTTTTCATGGTTTGTCAGTTACTTGTAATATTTCAACCGGAATACGTTAAATATTTTCCATTTTCAAAAGTAAATGTCAGTTACAATTATTCTCTAAAACACTAAGGTGATCGTAAATATACACTGCAAGTTTACTAAACTAGGTCTTGTTTTGAACCAATGTGACGTCAACAAACACATATCTCTCATGGTAAAGATACAATTGAATTTCTCAAAATTAAAACTATTCTCGAATAGGAACGAAAGAGTATTGAACGAAACCCGTGGAAAAGGGAACTCATGGTAAATAAGAAAACTCGGCTACTGATATCGGAAACTCAGCGTGTCAATTTGGAGCTGTTTTTGAGAAAATCCAGTTTTTGTAATTTTTTTAAAACTGCACATATTGCTCGCAATATTGCGCGAAAAGAACTCACTATGGAGAATAAATTTTATTTGAAGGAAAAATCTCTATCTCCACTTTTATAGTTGAAGGAAAACGTTTGCAATTTTGAAACATTCAGAGTTGACCGTGAAAATCGGACTTATATCTCATTTATAAGTGTATTTTATTCTGTTCTTAAAAGAAATTTAAAGAAAAAATATGGAGCCATTTTTTAGAAAAAATTGAAAATGCTTCACGTAAGTACCTCCAAATTTTGAAGAACGTTTTTCAAAACGCGGCGCCTCGAATGGAGCCAGATCGACCGGAGAATATCCAGTGTGGAAAAAATCGTACGTACGGTTTAGGCGCTAGTGATGTTCACACGGACGGACGTTTTGCCGTCAATTGGTGTCAACGACCCATGAAAGAGGGATTCTGGTTACACCGCTGTGTTAGAGGATTTTTTTTCCATAACTTAGCAAATGGATTTATCCACTTTTTCGGTATCACGATCCGGAAATGATATTTTTCTGCCGAAAATCCGCCGTTTTCTCGCGCAGCATTACATAATTCTCCCTTACTTAGTATATACGTATATATACGGGAAAGTAAAAACGGTGGACCATAGAGACAGTTTGCATATTTTGAATCAGCAGATTTCACGTATCTTAGAACAATTGTTAGAAACCAAGATATCCGACAATTTTTAAAATTTGCTTTTGAGTGTAATCGATTCTGACCGATATACTGACAACTTCCCCTAAATTTGTGGTAAAAAAGGACATGAAAAACTCTGTTAATTTATGTCAGATGCCAACTGTTACATGTCAAGGATAATTTCCGCTCAGATAACTAGAGACCGGAACTTCAGGCACTATAAATCTAAAACGGTCAGGCAAAAGAACACAAATCTGTTGAAAAGGGCAAAATGAAATCAGTGATTTTTAACACCTTCCATGTACTTATGAAAACATTTTCGCACTTCCAAATCTTTTTACAATCATAATTTTATTGTAATATTCTAATATCTCGTGCATCCCGTTCTTTTTTCAAATTCTATGACTCCTAGTAATACCAAACCAAAATTCATGCAGTTACGGCACGTTCCATTTCCACAGAAGTTGGACCACATGGGTTCACGGACGTACTGGAACCATCGAGTGCTACACTTTGTGAATCACATGTTGCTCCAGTAGCAGCTCCAGTGTACGAAAAATAATAAAAACGTAAATAATTTTTCACTTTCTTTTGGCTATTTCTTTTACCCTGAAATTTCTGTAGTCAACGTTAATCGTCAGCATCCATGAAATTCAATAACATTAATATAGGCTGCATCCTTTCTCCAAGTCGAGGGTGGCTCAGGGCATCAATAGATGTCACTGCAGTGCCTCTGGTGATCCTAAGTTCGAGTCCCGACGGTGACAGGATTTTTGACACTAGCTGCAGGTCGAATTCAGCTGTCTGGAGGAGAATTCTAGCTGCCGGCTGCTCTGATCGGTGATGGCTTTCCGATGACTTCCAGTGCTCTAACAAACGTGCCACGGACCGCGCGCGATCTTTCCTTCCTCTTCTTTTCCTTTCTTCACCACTTACTTACATTTACACTCACATTCACTAGACTACCACACATGCCGAGAGCCTGATCAGGAACTTTGAGTGTGGCCTTGCTGTGTCGGTGCTCTGCTGGTGGGAGATACTTGGTTGGGGAAAACCCGCTAGCCCACGTTTGGTCGGCGCCGGATCTCCCCGCCCAGCGGCGGAAAACCACTGCCACATACAGAGGGATAATATTATCACACTTACGGGCTTAAGGACTTTAGCCGTAGACATGCTCGGAATCACTGATCAATTTTTCTCCACGTCGAGTACTGAGATTGGCAAAAAAACTAATAAAATTAGGCTTTTTTTTTATTTTTTTTTTTAAGAATCAAGATTCATTGCTAATTTGATTCATGTTGCTTCATCCTCAAGAGTGTTGACAATGGCGCGTGGTTTTTTTTTGGGGGGGGGGGATATAGAAATCCATGTTCCCCAACTCAGGAGATGCTGAAGAAGCAGGAGGCAGACTTGAATCCTTGAAGAACAGTAAAGAATGTTGGCAAAAAAAGGTCAGTTTGCTGAAGTTGGGTGTCTACCTATAACTAACTCGATTCCATATTTCCGCAGAAAGGGATATCAAACTAAAGAATATATATATATATATATATATATATATATATATATATAGACACGCACATACATACATACATACATACATACATAGTATAATGAACTTGAAGTAACTTATAGAGAGAATAAACAAAATTGTGACGCGTTTCAATTTTTTTTTGTACGAGAGTAATGATAAACGTTCATTATTTATTTAGAATTTCCATTCTTAAATCGGAAGGGATAAGGACCATTTTCGTGTATTTTCTAAAAAATGCAAACTAAAGTAGACATAATAATACTCCTGCTGGAGGATCAAGCCATAAGTACCAATTCTACCATTATTGCAAACAAACCGATCGATAATTGTAGTGGGATATTGCCTCTTACATTCTACTCTTCCGAGCAACCCTTTCGGAATTGTAGTTGTGAAAGAGTGATTAATTGCCAAAAAGTTAATTTACAGGGTTTGCATCTTCTTTACAGCGTGTACGGACATTTTCATTCATAGTTAAATAACGAACGTTGGCAATCCAGTAGTGGGCGGGTCCGCTTCTGTCACGAAGAAGCAAAGAGAGGGAGAGTAGGCGTAAACACCTCGTTTGTTCCGTATGATGGTTGATGTGGCGCTTGGATAAGCCGGTCGTTTGTGGGTGTAGATAAAAAGAGATTGGTTCATGAAAGTACATATGCTAGCTTGCAGAAGAATATTTATAAATGTAGAAGAATAAAGTCCAAATAAATCGAATAATAATGGATTTGAAAGGGAAGGTTGCTCTCATAACCGGTGGAGCTTCAGGGATCGGACGAGCGTACGCTGTGGAATTGTTACGACATGGGGCAAAAGTAAGAAATTGAAAATAAACTTCTTCTGTGGGGTATTCAAAATTGTTGGGCATGATTTGATGAACTGTTATTTATATTGCTCTGAATTTACCCCGTTTCGTATTTGTAGGTGGCTGTTTGTGATATAAACACAGACGTTGGAGAAACATTGGTTCAGCAACTGTCAGAAAAATATGGCAAAGATAGAGTGATATTTTGCAATTGTGATGTCACTGATTATCCCCAATATGAAGGTAAATGCATTATTATTGTTATGAAATCTGTGATTAACATTCAAATCAATTGTGGAATACGGATGTGACAAAAAATTATATCAAAATTAATTTCAATAAATTTGTCATAGCAATGAATTTTTATTAATTTCACCCAAAGGTGCATTTCTCAAAAAGTTAAGTGAGTTGTATAAATTGAGACCTTAGGTAAACATTTGAAACGAAAGAGAAAATTTGATGATTTCAGAATTTTCAGTCGGATAATATTTCAGATACCCTTTCAGAACTCTTATTGAAATAAAACATCAAAATTATCAGTGTTGCAATTAAGCTTAGCTATTTGTACATTCTCTTTGTTAACATGTTTGGAGTTCTAGATATTGAGAGTTACTTACTTACATCTGATGTATCAGAAAATATCAGTATTGGGGGATTCAATAAATTTCAAGCATTGCTTTATTCAGCTGTAGTAAGCAAATATTCACTAATTTAATTGTTAGGGACACTGATTTCTTAAAATAAAATATTTTTCTTATGTACTATGAAAAATTATTTTTTAATATTTTCATCATTTCATAAAGAAGAAAAGTTGTTTATTATACATTGGAACCTGGTGACATAAAAATCAAGTTTTATGTTTTTTTAAAACTTCTATCAATGAAAATTTTTATTGATTTTCAGAATCCTTCCAGACCACAGTTTCAGTGTTTGGAGGCCTTGATGTTGTTATCAACAATGCTGGTATAATGAATGATCGATTTTGGGAATTAGAAGTTGATGTTAATTTGGTAAGAGGTAGCTTTAACACAGAAACATATTGTGATGTAATTGAAGTTTATGTTAATGACGTTTTGTATTTATTGGGTTTTGACTTCAGAATGGAGTGATACGAGGAACTCTACTGGCTCTTCGTTTTATGGGAAAAGATAGAGGAGGAAGAGGTGGAACAGTTGTTAACACAGGATCTAATGTTGTTGTAAAACCTTACGTCAGTATTCCTATATACACTGCTACAAAACATGCTATTATAGGATTCACTCGTTCTTTTGGGGTAAGAATTTAAGGAGTTTGATTTATTAAGAATAGCATTTTACATCATTATGAAGAATGGTCACTGATGGACCTCATTGTGTATTATTATTATTATTATTATTATTATTATTATTATTATTATTATTATTGTTATTGTTATTATACATGTTACCAAACTTCTTGGTGCTTGAATGTCACATGATGACTGTGACAACAGTGGTTTTCAAGTAGCATGCAATAGCAGGAGCTTTCCCAGTGATGTAATCTACAAATTGTTGCCACCAACTTGGAGTGAATACATGAAGAGGATAGAGAGTCAGATCAGCATAACAGAGCAAATAAAATGTGTTAGTTTTTCTTAAGGGGGGAGTTCTTGATCTGCCAGGTTATTCTACTTACCTAATAGCATATGTTATCTGATAAATCAATGATTGAATTCTGCATGACTGCACAAACAGATTGTAGAGTAGAATATATTTACTAAAAATACACTTTTAAGTGCTTCCAATGGAATTCCTTAAATTTTTTTATAAGAAGCAATCATAATTTGGAATATGTATATAAAAGTATATGTTTCTGATGTGATATCATTGTATGTAAGAAATACAGAGTATTCATTGTATGTACTCTACATTACTTTCAATTCCGCTCCATATGAAAATCTCAAAAACCAAGTTTTTACTTAAAGGGAAGAAATAGCAATGGCTTTCCAATTTTTATTATGTCAAATGGTGTATTGAATGTAGTTAAATCTCTTGTTAACTTTGCTACTGAAATATTAAAATATGTTTGATGGTATTTGTTCATGATTTTATTTTATTCAAAAGGTAAAGGACTCTTCTTAATGGTCTGAAATAAGCTCTAAGTACTCTATCACAACAGCTGATAAAAGAATGTTTGTATCTATTCTCTTATGTACATTGTCCATGCTGCTGCTATATAATATATAGTACCTGTTCAATTAGTTTATAATGAATATATAAATTATATAATAATATAATAATTATATATAAATTAATGCACACTGTGGAGGGCTTGTGGTGATATCAGGTCTATATGCTTGTTGTTGTTGTTGTTGTTGCTGCTGCTGACTTGCCTCTCTTGAACTGTATTACAGTTTATTTGTGAAATCGGGGCATGATTTTTTATTACTTGTTTCCAATATTTCTAACTTAAATTAGTTTTATTATTATAAAACAATTGTTTCATTAACTACAAAACAAACCAGATACAGTGAAAGATCAAGAAGAGGAAGGAAAAGGTTGCCTAAGCATTTTTCATTAATGATACCTTCCAAATTATTACTTCTTCTCCTGTTGCAGAAGTTCTGGTATTCTACATTTTTTCTGACTTTGCTGAGATCAAATTATTTATTTATTTTGTTAGTCTCGTCCACGTCATTACACGTTCATTACTTTACCCAATTCCAAATTTTCCATAATAGAATTTTGCAGATCTGGAAGCAAGCAAGCTTTTTGTAATTTTGTGACATTTCACAAATAATAACTCTACACAACTAGTGTCAACTATTTCTCTCAAGTCATAGTATTTCCACCCTTGCCCACGATACTAGGTCTGTAAGATATATCATCTTTTTTAAATAGTTTTTATTAAAATGAATGGAATCAACTCAAATGAAATATTACACATGATGAGAAAGGTACCTCATGAGTGATGAAAGGAGCGAGTGTAGAAGAGAGTTCCTCTCAGAGACAAAGTATCTCTTTATTATCTAGTGTAGTAGTGAAGTGTAGTACTAGTGTATCTAGTGTAGTGAATTACTATTTCAACTGCAGTAGAACCTAGGTACTTCTCTGTTTCACTAAATATTTTTAATTTAATTGAGATTGATTAAATCAATATTTTTTAATGTGTTTTTCTATCTTTTTTTATTATTTGTGTTTACCTTCAAAATTTGTTTGTGTCCAATTCTTTTTATTTGCAAATATTAGTTTTTACTGTTTGTAACTTTTTAAATTCATTCCATGTTTTGTTATATCCATTTTGGTTCTGTTTATTGTTTAAGGATTCATTTATGTGAATATAAATTAAATGTTCACTAATTAATGTACCCTTTTGAAATAGGATCCTTATCACATGAATATGACTGGAGTCCGAGTGATTGGCATATGTCCTGGTGCTACGGAATCAGATCTCATAAGTAGTGAAGTAAAGAAGCAGCTATTATCATCTGATTTCGAGAAAGCTTGGCAAAAAGATACTAGTAATAGCTCACCACAAAAGTATGTATATTATTGATTATTTTCGTAATTTAGAAAAATTAAAATATATTTTATTATTAATGGATTCCTTAATGGGATAGTTGAAGTTATTTATTAGAAAGGTTATAGCTTTCTGTTATAATATTTTGGTATTCAAAATTTTATAGAGCTGAACATGTTGCCCGAGCATTGATCCAATTGTTACAAAGAGCTGCTAGTGGATCTGTATGGATGGTTGAGAATTCACAGCCTGCACGTGAAATTAATTTTACTACACAGTAACTGAAAACAACAATCATCGAAAAATGGTACCCTACATATCCATCCCTGATAGGTGCAAGACGTCTGTGCTTTGAATCTGATCTTTGTTTGATTCCTATTTCTAGTCAGTAGATAGTATTGAAAATTTTTCAGCGCTTTTCTGGATCATTAGTAATAGACTTGTAAGCCAAGCGAACTGTGTACTGCATCTGTGGTGTTCTGCTTTGATAGCATGAATTTAGAATATTGTATAAATGAGGCAGTTTTGTGTAATATTTTTTATAGGAATTCTTGATAATTTGTTATAAAATTAAATACTCTTTAGTCCATTTGCAATGTTATCTCCTTTCCTTCTTTCTTGAACAGTGATGACACTGGTAGTTTGTTAGAAAAAACATTCTGTGGCATGTTCTTAGAAGTCCATATTTGGTACTATTGAATCGGTCTAGTCTGTCCATTTTATTGTAATATTGTTCATGTTTCACAGAATGTTTGTACATCAGAGCAGTTGCAATGCAATTTCATCCAAGATGTAAAAATATATTATGTTTATATTGTATACTTTTTAATTTTCAAAAATCATTGTGATACTTTTCAGACTGATGTGTGTATGCTGATTTGTGAGTTGGTTAAATTGTGTAATAATTAATACAGAAAAATTATCTTGATACAGTTGATGACTTTGTGATAAATTATAAACTAAGACTTTGCAATTTCATTTGAAATGATTGTGTTGATGAAATACAGTATTGTAGATATGTGAATGCATGAGGATATTGGAAGACTTTACAAATAATGAGGGTAGGCAGTAGAACAACAAAACATAGTAAATTCTGTGGAAGTTACAAAAATGTTAATTCCTTACCACATAATTCAATTTGCCCTCTGGAGGATACTGCAAGGTCATTACACAGCAAAAAATGTTAATGCCAATTTGAGCTTCACTTAACACGTTCAGTATCCAAGGTATTATAAAGAAATGCATATTTAGATAATAAGTTGAACCAAATTCAGAGATCAGATTACATTCTCACTTTAAGGATTCTTAACATCAGACATGCGTCATGAAATTTTTGTAAACTTATTATAAATAACTTTAGCTTTAAGAAAAATTAATAAACTGGTATAAAAAAGTATTTTTTTAATAAGTTCTGTTTTAAATATTTTGATTATATGAAAAATTGAATCCAGCTTATATATTGCAAAATAATGGGCTAATATTTATTTATCATGTTAATTTAAAAATTATTCCTTGTAAGGAAATGATCTTTGGAATGAAATAGTAAAAAAGAGAAATTACTTTTGATGTTTATTTGTGAAACTATAATATGTGGTTTAAAAAAACAGCACAACTCACATTCACTGTTAGTGGTTTTACAGCCAATTTTGGATTTTGCTTTGCAGATTTCACTCCCCATTCAAAATCATTGCGTTTTTTCTGATTTTTCATGTTATGTCTAATATGTTTAAACAAAATGTTGAGACGAGGATTAGTTGCTAGAGAAAAGTTCATTTTCAATTTCCATCAATTCTCTAGTAACAAATATACAATACAGTCAATGTCAGGGCTGGTAATGGGGAAGTTTCAAGAGCCTGGGCATTAGACAATGAATATTTTTAATTATTACCACTAATTGATTTACTTTTCTTCTCTGGCTGTTTTGCTGTGAAAGAATTGTAAACAATTGCCATTCCTGCAATCACAGTTGCTAGTGCAAAATATATACCATAATTTTGTAGTTTATCATCTGGACTTCTGACTCTCTCTCTTTTTTTCAATGATGGTGAATGTGTTAAGAAGGATATTTTGTGTATATTCTTCAAGAATGTGATTTTACAATTTTGTATAAAGCCTGTTATTTGTCCAATCTAATAAGTAGTACTACCACATACAGTTTCAGCATTGGTATTGATGAATTAGCATTGCATTAATGGGACATGTTAGAAGAAAGGAAGTTTACTTTTTTCTCTTTCTTATTTCTCGTAAAAGATACTGCCATCTTTCCATGACTTATACTTCCAACTTCCTCATGTAAACAAATGAAATTGTGAAAAATAATTAACCCCTTAATGCACTTAAGAGTCGTTCCATCTGGTACCCTAACACTTTTGTTTTGTAATTTGGAATGCTATTCTCAAACCCCCAAACTGAATTTGAGTACCGTTCAGCAAAAAAGAAACAATTTTCTAGAATCAAGTCTTTTCAGTTATGCAGTTTCATTTTTCACTCGATATTTTCAGTCTTTACATTTTAATTAATTCATTGCAAGAAATTCAGAGAGAATGAACATAACAAGCTTCATAATTTTCTGTCAATCGTTCCTTCCACTTTATTATACTGCAGTGTGTGGGTGAACTAGTTCATGATACCAAATAATATAATGTCACATTGGTGTCATACAAAAGCAAAGGAAACTTGAATTTACATGCTCAATTAAATCCTTCAGGATGTGAAGTATGATGAATAAATCAAAAAGAATAAAACATTTCGATGGGTTAGATTGTATTTCATTTGGTAGCCAAAAAATAATTATCTTTTTATTACATGATAGAACCTGTATCCAATTAGGAAGATTTTGTAATCTCATTATTTTCACGAAAAGAATCACAACTGACAGATTAAGGAAGTAAATTTTAGAAATACCAGTATTAGTAAAATCCAGAGCTATAATTTAAAGACCTCCAAATTTGAACTCTCAAAGAGTGTTGATTCGGCAAATAGAAACTGAAGGAAGGGTTGGAAGAGAAAACATTTTTCCTATTTATCTACGAGTTAGTAATGTTATTTTTATGCTATGAACATATTTCTTTAATGTATTTATGTTATTATCATAAGTGAAAATATCACTAAAAAAAAAGTAGTGCTGCTACAACAGCACATACTTTCTTGTATAATTAGTAACATATATCTGGGCGATGGTGTAACGGTTAGCATACCGGACTGTTGTACCCAAGTTTGTGGGTTCAAATCCGATCGAAGCCGTGGATTTTTAAGGTAGAAAAAATCCTTCGTACGCCTTCCTTCGGAGGGGAAGTAAAGTCGGCTGTCCCATGTTAGTAGATTTACTCGCGTGTAAAAGATCCTCAAGCCTAAATGACGCCTCTGAACTAAAATCAAATCGCCTGTTTCTCGCCCAAGAAATACCTCCTTTCTCTGCTAGTTGATGAAAGGAGCGTAGCGAAATTTGCATGGTCAGACAGAAGAGCGGGCCTGATGGCCCAAGTCTTGCCAAGTAAAATAAGGCAAATTTAATTCATTTCAGATATCTAATACTATAATATTGCACCTCCTATTGTATTTTGTAACATTAGTCATCTCTTAAAAAACTCAAATGATAAAAGTGAAAATTGCGTGAAAACTACTAACATTTTAAAAAAGATTGCATTAAATAATTTAAACACTTAGTATCAAATAATAGATTACATTAAGAAGGAAATCTCAATATTAAAGGTATAGGTCTGGTTTGAAAAAATAATTTGAATTTTGTCCCCATGAAATTCAAAATTACAAAAACCAACCAATGTTTTGAAATAATTGTTCATGAAAGGAGTTAAATGTTTAATACTGAAAAATATATCTCATTTATCACAGAAATTTCAATATATATGTTGGCCTAACTTTTATATTTTTTGAAAATCGAGAGATTTCAATTAATTTTGAATTTATATCATATTATTAGGCATTCCTTACTTTATTCAAGCAAAAATTTAAAGAAAAAAAGTGAACCTGTTTTTAAGAAAATCTTCATTATTTCACTCAAAATTACACAAATTATTCTCACATTTTCATCTTCAGTGCATTAAAGGGTTAGTGTTTTTCTGATGTCTATTGCAAGTTTATTAAGCAAATCATGTTCTTACTTGCAAATTGTTCACTGAATTTGAAATAGTGTATACCTCAAAGGTGAAAGGCTGATGATTTCGTTTGATATTTTATTTATTTCTTTTATGTTTGTACAATTTTACAATGTGTTAATTCCTGGCAATTATCAATGTTTTTCTCTATAATCTAGTCACTGTCATTTTATATCTTAATAATGTAATTTAATATTCATAACGAGACACAAAATGTAATGCTGCATTCCTTGCACTGCTCATCCATTGTTAATATTCTGGTGTAATAGTTGTTCTGCACCATTAATGCTGTTAAATGATTTTTAGTATTTATTTATTGTAGTTATTTAATCATTGTTGCACTGATAGAATAAATTCTTCTATAATGGAAAAGAATGGAAGTTGAAGATAGATGTTTTTAAGCGAAATTATGTACAAATCTTTGGATGACTTTATACTTATGAGAGTTGTGTGATTTCTATGTTTTACATCTATAGATGAAATTAAAGCTTTTAAAATAGTGTGAAAAAGGGTGTTTATAGCTTTTGATATGACTAGATTTATGTAGACTTTTGTAAAAAAAAAAGCAACATTTCTTTACTTCATACAATCCATCTCAAATGTTCAAAAGCCTATAGATCTATTTGTAGTACATTTCCTTAAAATAAACAACTTCTTTTACATTCTTTAAAAGGGATATAAAGGTAACTATTTTAAAAAAATGTTTTTCAATTTTTCACCCAACTTATTTCTTGTGTTTTGGAGAAATAGCAGTTGACAATAATTGAGCTGGAAATGAACATATAGACATTGATTGCTACTATTTGATTGCAATATATCACTTAAAAAAATTAGCAAAAATTATTTTGTGTATAAAGAGTTTTTTCCAATTCAGTGTAAAGAACATCAAAAAACTCATACTAGTGGTCAAACAACCTCTGAATTTTACGTTTGCTGATTGTAACTTCTGTTCCTAACAATATCTTTGACAATGAGATTTTTTATAATAAGTTTTGCACCCACGTCTTCTGAGAAAGTCTCATACATATTTATGTCTTTGTTGAATCTAGCTTGTTGACCAAAGCTGACATTTGCCATCTTTTTCCATAAAAATATTTTCTGGGATAGGTATTACAAAAATTGTAAAGTGGTGAGCTATAATTTTTAATATAAAAATAAGATAAATTTAAAAGATTTCTTGGACAAAAAAATGGTGTCAGCGTACATTAAAAACAATTTTGCATGCAACATTAATTTCTTAGATGATGATAATTATTATATTAATTAAATATGTATTGTTAATATGATTTTTTATTTGAGGGACATTTACTTAGTTACATACTTGTTTTCGATAAAAAATTACAAAGAAATGTGGATGATTGATTATTTTCACAGGTTAATTCTCATACTTCCAAAAATCCACTTTTGCCATTTCAATTAGTATTCACTCACTAGAAGTAACTGCTAATAAAATTTCTTGTGAAGCTGATGTACCACATAGTGTGCTTGTGGGCCAGAATTGCTCTGTTCTCTGCATTCCTTGCCATATACTCTTTGTTCCTTGCTATACACACCACTAGTGAGGTCCCAGACAGTGACCTCATCTTTGAGCTCAACCATCTGGGTACTTAGAGGCCAAATGTAAAGTGAGACACACATGGTGTTTTCATTCTTGCAATATGCTTCCTTCATCATCTGTCATTGAGCAGTGGGATTTACTGTTGAAAATGTCTCTTAATGGCTTTTTGTTTGAATCACTGTTGATGCTTTGAAATATATACCCATGTAATCAAATCTTGCCATACTCTTGACTGCAAATGTGCTACTTTTGAATATCATGTTTCACTAAAGTAGTGTTTTTCAAAATAATAGAAAATTAATTGATAAAATAAAACTAGTCTTAATTTTCATATAAGACGTCATTAGTATTATTGAGACCAATATCATAACAGGGATATATATTTGAGGTCATCACTTCATATAAATTTGATGTGTAGTTAGTTTTTCAATAATTCAGAGGAATCAAAATCACATATTTTTTTATGGAAACTGTCTTTTAACTTTTACTTTTGTTGCAAATTTGATCTTTTATACATCACATACACACTTAACCAAAAGAAACTGTAATCTACTTCTGGAGTAGTGGTATTTCTCTTACATGCATTATTTGAGATATGTCTGAATGTCCTCTTTATAGTACTTCATAAGTGTCAGAGCATTTGCGATTACACAGTTCTGTGATTTCTCCTTGTTTAAAATGTAGAACTAAAATGAAAGGCATTGTTTCTGATCTTTCACAGATAATAATCTTCATTTTTGTTAAAAAAATATTTCCAATGGAAAAAAGTTATCAATATGAACTATTCTCTAAATACTTTGTCACATCAACAGTTATTTTTCTATGGTACTATTTTGTATTTTTTACCAGTATTTTGACCTTTAAAAACAGTTTTGAATTGATATTTGAAGAAGCCGTAGGTTTGTAGGGCAGGAAGTTCTCAGCTTCAGTTATTTCCATTGAAATAAATGGAAAGTAACAAAAGGGGGAAAACAACAACTTTCTTTAAGAAGTAAATATTGATTATCATTCTTTCTACTTTGGGACAATTTAAAATTATTTGACTTCCGGATCTACTATTTATTTTTTCTTTCTGACTTGCCATTATTCCTTTCATTTTTTCTTGAGTACTTTTTCTTGAACAGTACATTTCATGCAAGCTTCATTTTCAGGAATATATGTGGCACTAGGTTTAAGAAATTCTGTGTACTGTAATGAATATAATGAAGTTATTTTAATGGATCTGTCTGTTCTAATATAATTATATTATTATTATTATTATTATTATTATTATTATTATTATTATTATTATTATTTATTTCTAATGAAGGTAATAGTAATGTGTTTTAATTGATTTGACTGACAGTGAATGATTCTCTTTTCCTACATTTCTAATAAGTGATATGAGATGATACAAATATGTGGATTTATTATGTTACTTTAATTAGCAGTGCACAAATAAATGATTAAAGAGCAAGTTTAGTTCCAAGCAAGCTGCTTATGGACTTAGGTACCTTGTAATATGACCTAAGCTTCGTAGTATTCTGTAGTAATTTCACGCACAATGTAATATACTCAAAATGTAGGAGTTTGTATGAATGAAAATAAGTCTAATTAAAATTCCTCGTCCAAAATTATATTTTCTACAAGCAGCAAATATTTGTTAAAATAAGTTGTGAGGAGAGAGAAAAAACATTTTGTTCTTTAGAAGTTAACTTTTCATTAATTAAAGCTAATGCAACATTTTGAAGTAGTGACAAAGGCATATGAAAAATTGTCAGAAAGTAATGTTGCAATATTGATATGATTTTCTTTAATGTAATAAAGTTTTTCTATGTAAACTTGATTTTTATTGATGTGAAACTGTAACAATAAAGTTTGATGAATGTAGTAGTTAGTGTTTCATCATTTTATTGGATAACTCATCTATTGAATGTGAAATTCTAAGTATTTCAATATGAAATTCAGCCATACTTTTGAAGTGTGAAATCTCTTCTCTCTCATCTCTTCAAAAACTACATAGATCAGTATTGAAAGTAGATATCTCCCGGAAGGCTGCAGAAATGTAACTAAATGCAGCATTACTCTTTCTCAAACATCACTTGCAGTGCATCTTATTGACATAACATTTTGATAGTTTGATATTATTTCACTACGTATTTTATGATGCCTCAAGTTGGGCAGACAGTTTGTGATAGTTTTATTTATTAACTAATTAACTTACCCTAATAATTTATGTTACCAAGTTAATATTACATTTATTACAATATTGATTAATATTTATATTTGAAACATTACATTGATTTTACAAATGTTGGTACGACATATAACACTTAACCTTATTATTATATGTAGACATGTGACTCTATAGTACCCTATTATTAAAAAATAAATTGATGGCATCTACAAATTAGCAGCCTTTTTACTTAGTTTGATAATAAAGAATTGACATTTATTCTTCAGATCTACATTTGGTTTACCAATGGTTTTTGAGCTCTTTAATGATTTATCTTTGATTTATATAGTCAAAATTCCGTTCGGTATTTCTTGTATAAGTGTTCGTAAGCATACGGAAATATCTTCCACCCCGGTCTTGAAGGTTTCCGTCCGGATGCCGTCGATGGAATGTTCTCGTGATGCTCCTGCTATCGTCGTAAATTCTGGCAGCAGGAGAATTTTTGTAATGTTCCCCGAAAATCCTGTTTGATAAAATTCTATACGATCTATTCAATTAATGAAGTCCGCGAACGCGTCTTTCCCTCCTGCGCCTCGGATGAAGCTCTTACTCGCGACAGCCTGTCGTTTTACTTAAAACAATATGTATGCCCAGTTACGAATCTATTCTACTTTAATTTTCCACGTACTATGTCAATTTTACATGAATCCCTCAAATCTCAAATTACAACACAAGCTAAGAATGATACCCTCAAATTACAAATTATGTACTATACTCATGAACAAATCACACAGTTAACATAAGTTTCCCGTTTCCTAACATCAAAATTATCCGGCCTAAGTCAGCAAAATTATTACCGCCCACTTCTAGCAGCAGCCGAGAGAGTCTGGTCCATTATAAATAATAGCGGAACCTCGATTTTCAATACTTTTCGACTTGAATTCAACATTATGTCCAGGTGGCCATGCGTCGCAAAAGAATCACATATTCCGACCTTTAAGCTCGGAACACAGAGTTTGTTGACCCGTTGTTCTGACGACTTGGTCTACACCACAGAACAATAAAGTATACACTCTTGTTATGCATCCAATTCTAAAGTAATCATATGTTCGATGCATATTCCCGTTATTACATGCCTTGGGGGATTTCTGGTATGTCACAATATAATATTAATAGTTCAATATTAAAGTTTTGTGAAGGTAAAGCAGTACTACTGCAGTTCTTCCCATAGTACGTCACACAGTTTTGAACTGTTTTTGACGTTAAATAAATATCTGGTCTTGGAAATGAAATTCATAATAGACTGACAAATTTTACTCCAAGTTCGTCTGTACTTGCAAGTTGAAAAGAGATAGGTGAGAGGATTGGGATCCATCCAAATCCATTGCCGTGATCCAAAATATGATATTCGGGTATAAGGGTGGTAGATTTAAAGGTCAATTTAGCATGAGCTGTCTGAACCCACTTTCATGAATGGGCCTTTGTACATCATTTGAATAAGCGCCCATTACGATTTCCAATGCCTAGTCCAAGGAGCTCCCACCATCTAATTTCAAAATATTTCAAGGCCAGTTTCCCAGTGTGTTTCAATCTGTTACTTTCCTATTAGTGATTCGACCCCCCTCTTAAAGCTCCGAACAAGAATTGAAGTAATTAAAACTAGTGATGCTATAACAGGGCGTAGGCCTTCTTCCTCAAAACAGTAACAATAACGCACAATTGTAACACAGCAATTTCTATTCATATGAACACATTTCAGCTGTCACTTTAAAATTCATTACCGCGACATTAGGCGGGAAAATTTAATACAACACAAAGTCGATCCAAAACTCCATTCCATACACCCAGAATCACCGACTAACAATCAAGGGCACACCCAGCCAATCATTTTGGAGGCCATCCTAAATTTTTGTTAAATAATAAATATTTGATATTAAATTGTATATTATTTTTGTAGTGAGTATATGATTCTATACAATATTATTTTTTAAATAATTACGTTATTCGAACATACATTTTTCAATCAATTTCGCCAAATAAAAGAAGATATTAAAGGAAAATTCTTGGCCCCCATGCCCCTCCAGGATCTGCCACTGCTAACAATGAAACGTTATTCTGAGAATTTCAAACTCCCGTGTCGCGGCGTTTCCATTGATTGATATGATTCTTGTAATAAATAATAAATAAACTAGTGATGCTAAGGAATGGCACAGACTTTCTCGCCCTAATTCGTTTTCTAATCTCTCTAGTAATGACTAGCTGTTGCAACAAGCCTCATTTTCTTCATGGCTGCTTTCATTATGTTGCCTGAACCCCCCCCCCACCTCATTCTCTCAATTAGTAGGCTTTGGGAGTTTTTAACGGATATTTTGATTGTTGAAGTTTTTTTTACATAAATCGGGCATTTATCTTTTTATACCTTGGTCTGAGCTCGAACCAAGGTATGAGTGCTGCCGCGTTAACTCTGAAGATCTGAGTTCGAGTCTCGTAGTGGAAAAATAATTATCTGCTTGACAATACTTTTGTTGGTTATTTACTAGTGCAATTTTGCGTAGCCTTTAGATACAATTCGAGAAAGTATGTGCTTTGGTAGTACCACTAGTTTTGTTCTTGCAATTTTCAGAAATAGAGTTCGTCGAAAATGAGACCAGCGTAATATTTCTTTACCTTTCTTTGATTCATACGAGGGGGAAATTAAAAAAAAATGTTTTAAAATGTTCTCCATTTCTCGCAAAATACACAATGGACAATAAGTAGATTTTGGTACACCATAATAATACGACTACAGCAATACACTGGATAATATAATAGCACTGGATTTCTTTCCACCAAAAACATTTTATATTTCCTTTGTTCACCTTTTTTATTGACATTTTATAAGCAGGTGCTCTCTCAATCAACCTTAAAAACATTAGAATCTTATTTATATTGTTAGTTTTGTGATAAGAGGAAGATTTTGTGGATTTTATTGGCACTGTGTATTCACAATCATTTTCTCAATTTTAATTCACAAACCATTGACCCAAAATATTTTCTTTCATATTTAATAACATTTATAAACAGTGATTTCAACTTTATTTCATACACTTAGCATTCGTACATCAATGAAATGTTTTTACGGATTTTTTCGCTGACGCCAACAAATTATCCCCTTTATACAGTTTTAGGTACAGGCCACAGACATGAAGACATCCTCAGATACCAAGAATTCCGACTACGCATATTGCACAATGATGGACATTATAGTTTTTCTTTTCGAGATTAAAGGAGATTTCGAGATTTAAATTTTTATGGCAGAAAAAAACACTTAAGCTTTGTTACAAACACCTTTGGCGACCCACACGTATTCTAGATAAATTCAAATCCTGACCCGCCATGATTTTACGCGAAAAAAGGGTTGTAAAAAATGCATCAGAATGAAAATTATATAAAAAAGCTTAAAAAAATGTAATTTGAATAAAAGCATAACATATATTTAGAACACTTTTATCATCTATAATCAAACAATCATACACTCGCCCTGAGATACATAATAAAGCACCCGTTTGATCATTCTGCGTTCTGTAGTCTGACCTACGTATGTGAGTTTCTAATATCCATTTCTCATCTAACGATGTTCGTCGGATTTTATCTCTTTCCATTTTTATGTATTCTTTCTATGTATGTCTTACACTTAGTTTTAACGCTGACATGTCTTTTTTATGTTCCTACGGTATTTATTTCATTATTTGACGTTCGTAGATAATGTACAACAGTGGAAACATGTACTCTTTTGTGATGAAGTCGAGTGCTTGATGGCAATGGATAACACTGCCTGCTGACAGCGTTATTTAACGAGATTCCTCAAAACTACATTATCCGACGAAACTGTTATGGCAAAATTTATGTAATCGAAGAAAGCGCTGGCTCGTCCATTTAGCGGTAAATAGTGACATGTAAATAGTGATGTGTTGGAAATACAGAATTTCGGACGGTTGTAAACTAAACTACCGCGTGGTAATCTCCGATCTCGCGGCGTACGAAGTGCCTTCGTTTGGTATCCGTCTGCCATTAATTTTCCGTGTGCGAGAGGTTCAGAGGGCGTCGTCCTTGACGCCGATGGCGGAGGCGGCCCCAGGGGCTGCGGGTACGACGGCGGTGGCGGCGGAATCCACCATGTCCGGCATCGACAGCGAGCTCTCGAGCGTGCTGACGCTCACCCGCGTCTGCTTCCGCGAAGCGCCGAGGCGCAGCGCCACCGGGCAGCAGCGCCGTGCGCATGCGCGCAGGCGGGCCCGGAGCGGGCGCAGCGCCACGGGTTTGCAGCAGAAGAAGACGAAGATTAGCACCCCGCGCAGGAGGTTGACGGCGTCGGTGATGTACCAGAAGGCGAACGAATCGTCACCCGCCAGCCACGACACGATCTCCGTCACCCACGTCACGCCCATGAGGCAGAACAGCTTGGCGAACACGATCAGCCTGTGCAAGACACAGGCAAGGTGCGGTTAGAACTGGTTTCTGGACTATGGTCTGGATTGGGTGACAATTTGGATGGGTAACGTCACACTGGGATAGATTCGGGCATTAGATGTACTGTCATGTCAGGTTTAATTGGGCTTCTCTTTTGCGTGCGTCAGAACAATATGTTGACAGAAGTGACTTTCAAACACACCAAAGTAGTTGTTTGGAAATTCAAATTAAGTAATGCCGTTGAGGTGTCGTGGTCTTTGAAAATGTGAAAACGAAAGTTTCCAGTGTTCGGCAATAAACAACTGAATTCAATCATAGAAACTATTGTTTAGTTTGGTGCATTTATTATGAGCTCATATGATACATAATCTAAAAACAAAAGGAGGAAAATTTCTGTGCTCCTTTTCCATTTAACTTTGTTATTTATACATGACATTTATACACGATCATCTTAGACCTCTCTCTGTATTTGCCTGAGTGTCGCTATGTAAGGGGTTCATGTTAGACTATAATGTCGCTATTATCTGGAACCTAGTGAGCAAAATATCAAATGCGTAACTGAAAATACACATTTTTTTCGCATAAACATGGTTCATTAGTACTCTTTGTCGTTGTTGGCTTTTGCCCTTCTTTAAAAAGCCTTCACGCTCATTCCTTCATTTTATATTTCCACCATTATAATGAGAAGTCTTCAAAACAAAAGAAGAAAAATAGGAAAGTCTTCCGAACCCAAGAAATAATTTTAGAACGAAGTTTTCTTAATTGTTCCGTGAACTCCAATAACCCAAGTTTTCATGCCTAGATTACTGCAGTTACTCACATCTGACGATCACCGCTTTTTATCGCAGATTTCTTTGGTGACTTCGCCGACGCAGTCTTTGCTGCAGTCTGGGATACCTTTTCATGGTCGGCGCCTTCACTACTAGCAACGGTGGAGTCACCACCTCCATCACCATCTGAAACTAGAAATGGTCAGTTTAATCATAAGAAATATTCATTTATCGGGTAAGTGTGTTATATTTTGTCGTGTCTGCAGCGGAGCGGGCATAAAGTATTCAAAAGCCCCACAAGGGTATTAAGTATACCTTTACGTGTTTTGTTCCATAAACAATCAGCTATGAACTATAGAATACTTTTATTTTTTACTGATGCGTTATAGCTTGCGTTATAGCGTTATGCGTTATAGCGTTATGCGTTATAGCGTTATGCGTTATAGCGTTATGCGTTATTGCGTTATAGCGTTATAGCTTGTGTTTATATGCGTTATACCGGTATAGCTTGTTATTTCGATACGGAGTTCGATATACGCTGCATAACGTACCTGGATCGAGATAACAGTGGTTACGAGGGAAATGTGAAAACAGTTGAATAATGCTAAATGTTCCCTTACGGAGAGAATTATGAGAGGGAATTGTAAAATGACAAACCAAATTAACTTAACTAGAAAGTTAATTAGAAAATAAGTAAATCTGAATCAAAAAATAAAATTATGTATGTACCACCTGCGTTAACTAGTTCTAATGATCTCGGGCGACGAAAAGCCCTTGGGGTAAAGTCCCTTGGGCATTTTGCCGCCATTTGAATGCCCTTGGTGCATTCATAACTATTAGACCTCAACTGGAGCTTTGCTTCGCGTTCCCAAATTATATTTGATCATGTTAAACCTTATCTATTTTCTTATATTGATGGCGGAGTGTAAACATACAATGTTTTAATACGAATCATTGGTATCAATTGATAGCTGGTAACAGTTATTTACAATAAAAGTATCTTAATGCACCTTACTGCCATTTAAGATTGGGAAATTGCCCAACGAGGCCGTTAGCTCGAGTTTGGTAACCGATTGGTTATTACAACAAGGTGACGCACAATATGCTTATCGAAACATTTTATCCATTTTGTAAAAATTAGTTGCATTTAATCTGAAATGTCCTACTAAGCGTTCATTTAGTCTTCACGATTTTTCTCTGCGAGTTGCGACCCTGTTCGCAACAAGGAGAACAGTTGAAATATAAAGTGACTCACATTAATATTCGGACAGCCACAAATAATGAAGGCGTTTCTTGATTGATTGTTAATCTTTCGCACGTGCGCGGAAGTTACATGTGAGATAATGCAAATGAACTGTGTCTTTATTGTTAGGAAAGAGAATAATACAAAGAAAATGTTTCTGATGCACAACATACATTTCAAAAACACGGATTTATGCGTGAGTATGCAAGAATACGAAGTCACGTAATGGAAAATGTCCTCTTACCCCCTCGCCACTCTTCTAGATGGTGCGATAAGCGCACCATCGCCTACCCATGACAAACGAAACTATGCAGTCAGTCGCTGTAAATATTTCCACCTGGAAACAACTGTTGTAATGGGACGCAAGGGAAAGAACTGGACGTTCGTGCAGAGGCAGCTTGTGGTTTTCCACCATGCAAATAGAGATAGCAAATCTTTTACTCATGAGCAAGAGCACAGGGCACGACATCATTAAAACATTTTAAGAAAGAATACAGAATTGAATCTAAACCGCAACAAGGACAACGTAAGAAGATCCACGAAAGAGAGCATCGTGCAATTTTGAGAAATAGTACGAGAAAGTCCGAAGGTGAGTGCAGTCTAGCTGGAAGCGGGACTGCGCGAAGCGTCAGGGACATCTGTGCACCACCCCGAAACAGTGCGCAGAGTAATTAGGAACGCCGAATATCACGGCAGAGTAGCCAGGAACAAACCTTTTATTGGTGCTGGGAATAGAACTAAACAACTTGAGTTTGCAAAGGAATACGTGTAACGAAATCAGAGAAGTGGTGGCGTGAGGTAATTTTTGTAGATGAGATTTTTTTGGCATTACGGTAGGATAATGATTTGGCGCAAACAAAATACAGAATTACATCCTGTATCACATGTCAAACATAGAGGTGAAAACATAATGGTATCAGCTGCTGGCGCGGGGAGCTGATGTTTATTAAAGACTCAAAGGACAAACCTAAGAGTCTCAACATACTCAGAGAGAATTTACACAAATCTTCTGACACTGGCCATCAGGAGTTCCTTTAAATTTTATAAAGATAACGACCCGAAACGCAAAATTTAGAGTGGGAATGGTTGTTTTACAATTGTCTAATAGTGCTGGAAACGCCGCCTCAGTCTCCTGACCTCACTCCAATCGAGAACTTACAGCATGAATTGAAATGTGCAGTCAGGAGAATACCAATTACGTCAAAGTCCTATTTGCAAGTGAGAATCAAGGAAGAATGAGTACAAATATAACAGTACCCGAACAGGATTAGTGGTTCAATGCCAAAGCGATTGCAGCAAGTCATTGACAACAATGGTTATACTACAAAGTATTAAATTTCTTTTCATTTATTTATTTATTTATATTATTTTTCAATTCACGTGTCCAAATATTACTGTGACTAATATATCCAGAAAGTTTTAATTTGTTTTCTTTTTTATTGAATGCGTCAACTATATTCGGCATTTTTGTTTTGTTTATACTTTTATCCATTTATAAAGGAACAATTCTGTTTCACTTTATTGCTTATATTTCTTTCCTACAACCGTCAAAATATCGCAGAACTTACGATTTTTGGATTATATCTGGGTGTCCATGTATTAAAGTGAGCCACCGTACACTGTATTATTTTCAAAATAAGTGACAACTGTTATCCAGATGTCGAAACAGTAAATGGTGCTGCTCGAGGCTGCTTCATTTATTTGAGGTTTAGTGGACTGTACTGATTGATAGATTTATTAATTCACAGGCCGAGCAGTCTTCGAATCCCTTTGATAGCATGCTGGTTACAGTATGTGTTTCCGGTTTCATAGAAACAAAGTATTGCACAAACAAGTTTATTCTTAGTCACACTTCACGGCCATTAATACATGAATACACAGTTCAATTGTTTCTCTTGTTACACTGTTCAGTTCACTCAACACTTAACATAGCGATGTTTCTCACGGAACATTAAAAAACTATGTAAAGTTGGTGCTTCGTTCGGCATGCACAACGCCGTGTCCACCTCAGGTTGCGACACACATTAATAGTTAAGTTTGAGCAATTAGTTGTAGCTCATTATCAGACTTCGAGACTATTAAGATTATGACTTATGCGAGAATTTAAGTGCAAAGAACTCATGACTTACACGGAGCTCTTTGGACACGAATCACATACGTGTGTTTCGCATGATGTCCGCTGCCGAACTGATTAGTATGGCGTAGGCGGCGCGCCGGCATCAGAATATTTCATTTTGAGTTAGAGTTCCATGAAACTTTAGTAGGAGTAGGCAATTGCCTACAGTATCTCTTAAATAGTTCCAACATTGATAACCTGGCGACCCTTATTAAGACTCGTGGGAAATGAATTTATAATTATATTTCGTCCCTACATTACAATATAATGGAAAATGGCACAAGGAATAATTCTGGCCATTTTCGACACCATCGGCTTTACCGTTCTCATGATAATGCTACTAGATGAAGGAAATCAACCACTCTGCGGCGGTTGCGGTGGCAAAATTCTCTGCACATGAGAGGCTGCAGAGTGGGGAACCTAACACCTATTAACGTTTGAACCGATTCTGGAAGATTCGTTAGGGTTAGTTAAGAACGGCGGCCTCAGTGTGCTCGGACATGTCGGACACGTTCGGACACGCTCGGACATGTCGGAATTCCGGGAAACGTCGTCGCTCACCGGGGCGGGTATCAGACTGACGAAGGGCGCCCACGCCGCCGCGCATCCTCTTCAGGCAGTTAGGTTGTGCACAAGCAACTGATTCTGTCTCACCAAGCATAGGAAATAAAATGTTATTTACGGTTTTGCTGTGTGGGCCCGAACAGGTGCACTACAAGAAATCTGTATGAGTACGGTACTCGTATTTAAAGAAAAACATATTTTAAAGATATGTTAATTCCATTTCGGTAAGCAATTACGATGACTTCCTTCTCTGCTAAAACAGAAAGAAAATGCGAGTACTCTTTGGAATTTTTAGTTAATGTTAAGGAGTACGATTTATTTGAATGAAAATATCGATGTAAGTTTGCTTGCGCAGTGGTTAGCGTTTTTAAAGAGAAACAGTTAAGAGTACAAGTCATGGCAAAGAAATCTGTAATATTTTCAAAGAAAGACATACAAAAATGTTAAGTAGAATTCGCCATTACTTTCCTGCACCAATTCGGTAAGGTATGCCATTACTTCGTTACTGAAATACAATGTAAGGTTTGCTTCCACATAACCACAGCGGATAAAATCCCGAAGTGGCGCTCGCCGTTTCATTCCTGTTATGACCCCCACACGAAATAGTACGAGGGACGTTCAAAAAGTTCTCGGAATGGTGATTCAGCATGTTAATGTTAAAACTTAGGGCAATAGTAACTTAATCACCTTCGAAGTAGGATCCTTGCGTACCCATACAATTGCTCCACCGTTCCTGCCGTTGTTGCAAAGAGCGGTAGAAGGATTCTTTCGGCACTTGTCGGAGCTGATTCGTCGCATTCGATTTCATGTTCTCCACGGTTGCAAAATTTTTCACATTTAGGCTCATTTTCAGGTTATAAAACAGCCACTAGTCTCTGGGAGCGAGATCCAAAGAGTAGAGTATGGTGGTCGAGAGAAGACAGGCATGTTCTCGGCGAGGAATTTCTGGACAACAAGCGATGTGTGGCTGGGCGCGTTACCGTGATACCAGATACCACTTTTCCTTGCCACTCGACCCGTCAATTTTGGAGCAAGTGCTCACTCTAGAGAGTAAACGCTTAACTTTATTCATGCCAATTCTGAGCATTTGCTCGCCAGTTGAGAGTATGCTCAGAGTTGGAGCAAGTGCTCAGAGACTGAGCAATTGCTTACCCACTTTATTCATACGAAACTGAGTAGAATCTTGGAAACTCGGAGCAAAGAGTACTTGCTTACTTTTATTCATACCACCCATTGACACGGAGCAGTGACACCACAGCCCGCTGAAACATGTCCAGATCAATTTGCGCGCTTGCGAACATTCCTCGCCACCAACCGGAAGAATGTGAATGCTGTCTCATCGCTAGCCTGGCGGCGGCAAGGCCATTCCGGGAACTTTTTGAATGCCCTTTGCGAGTGAGCGTGCAGCGTGCTTACCGGGGTCTGAAGCCCTCGCGAGGCGCCCTTGAGTGCGGGCGTTGGCGCTGCCCTTGCGCAGAATGGAGGTGCCCCTGCGCGAGTGCCGGATGCGCACCACGGTGAACGCGAACAGCCCCAGGTTCACCAGCAGCAGCAGCGCCACCGGCGCGTAGTAGTACACAAAGGTCGCCATCTTGGCTGCAAGGAAAAGAGCGACACCGGTTAATGTTAATGTTCGCTTCAACTCGTAGCTTCTGAAGTGACGACCAAAAAATAATGGCAACAGTAACCCAATATACTGATGAAACGGAGGAAACCAGCCCACGAAAGCAACCAGAACATGCACTTTCCACACAGCATGAAACGTAAATCGCAGCGTGTCAACCATGCGGTGCTGTTCAAACAACCTACAACTCACCTACTACGTAATGACGCAGTAATAACAAAGAATCACAACGCTTCAGTGAAAAGTAACGTTTTTGTCTGAAAAAAATCCTATTATTGGCTCTGATATCGAAATATGCACACATTTTGTCCCTAAATATGGTGAATTATTAGCTCCAACACGTACCATCGGTGTCCACGTTTCTTAAGTTCTTGACACAGAAAAAGTGGTTTTCGAAAAAATATCCGTCAGTCGGTCTGTCCGTCCATCAGACGATGCGTGGGCAAAGCTTTCCTTTCCTTTGATGCATCCAAAAGACAGAAGCGAGGCGGATAGTGCGAGATCCGAATGTTCATCACTCGACAAATAGCAAGCAAACCATCCTCACTACTCGGGATTTTGCGAGAGATCGGTCGATACTTGTCGAAAACCGTATGTTTGTAGCCGCCTTTATCTGAATCAATTTATCCGCATTTACTATATTGTTACGACTGTTATCACTGTTACTATTATTATCGTCACGCGATACCACACCTAAATTAACATGATCTATATGTGAACCATTGTAAAATACATGACGTAATACTAATAATAAAAACAAAACATAGAAAAGAAAGTTCAGTAGAAGGAAATGGAATTGTTCCAAAAGAACAAGAATAAGGAGGATAGCAGAAAGGACGAACAGGGGAGGAGGTAAACAGAAGTGATGATAGAACAAAAATATGGGTGGAAGAAGAAACCCAAGATGAGGGTCGTTCAGGGGCTACCCACTGTCGAACCAGCAGCGGCGCGCGCCGATGTTGGGCAGCAGCGGGAGGTCGGGCGGCACGACGTGCTCGGGGGCCAACTCCATGAAGAGGGTGACGCCGGTGATGAGGGCGGGGCAGCCCCACGCGTACAGCGAGTACCACAGGAAGCGCCGGCTGCGGTCGCCGCCCCCGCCCGCCACGCGCCGACGCCGCATCGCCCTGCGCAGCGGATCGCGCCACTCACACCTGCCACTTACTTCGGTTGGGCCGTCTGTGCAGCGATCCGTCTCCCCGTCCGTCGGTCCGTCTGCCCGTCAGTCCAGCGATTCATCCGTAGGTTCGTCTGCCCGTCCATCGGTCCGTCCGTTGGTTCGTCTTCCGTCAGTCCATTGGTCCGTCGTCCGTCCGTCGGTCCGACTGTTGGTCTGTCCACCCGTATGTCGGTCGGTCCGCCCGCCTGTCGGTCGGTCCGCCCGTCTGTCGGTCCTTCTCGCCTTTATTTTGTGCATTTTGCGCACAAAAAATTTTCATAACTGCTTCTTCTAATATTGTTCCGCAATATTAGTACCTAATTCTTGCAAACAAACACAATGCGTGGTCGATAATGATCGAGAAGTTGAAAAGTAAATTTAATAAGATATAAAAAACACACACAATGCAATGCCAACTAGAATAGATATTTTTCAGAAGCAATACGACATCATATATGTCTCGAATGGTAAAGATGTGCTTGGATATTTCAAAATTGAAATTATTCTTGAATGGAAACGAATGGAATTGAACGTAATATGGGTAAAGAGGTATATTACACTGGTGATATATACTCGTACGATAACTCGATAATATTGTCGCTTGTATTCTGGAACATACCACTCACAAGTTATTATACCTCTCTTTATCCACTCTTTTCGTTAATTACTATTACATCTATACTAGAAATATTGGAAACACTTTTCAATAATACAGGCAAAAGTGTGATGATGATATCCTGGTCTTGACGTAAGGATATTTACAAGATGGAAAGGTCGTTTCAAAAGATACATTTATTCTCAATTCTCGTCACATTCTCCAAATATCAAAGCAGGAATCGCGTTTCAACTTTATACGAATTATTGACTTTTGCCCTCTTCGTTTCAGTTGACGATGTTCATACAAATCTTCGTTGTATTCAAGCATTTCCTTGTGAGCGCTCATACATCAATTTTCTTAATAAACCACAATTCGTTTTTAACAATTTTCAAGAGCCATAAAAATATCAGTAAATAATATAACCGTACTTCTTTAGTCAAATGTTCGGTGCACAATGTATTATCGGTAATGACTTTTCGTTTGCATGAGATTTTTTATTAGCCTTACAACGTTTTATTGCTCCCTAATGTTAATTTTTAAAGTGTCATCGGAAATATTTTAAGAAGCAATTATTTTGCACATCGTGAGCATAAAGTAATTTAAGAGAACCTAACTTACCCAAAAGTCCATGAAAGATCAAAACACATTACGTTCAGCCAGAAGAATGTACTGAGAAAAAAGAACTGCACGAGGTATGCTGAAAGCAGATAGAACAATCATATATTCTTAATTCTTATTTGTAAGCAGTTTGTTACAAGTTTTTTAGCGTTATTTTCAATACCTTACGTCAACAACTTGATTTTGTTTTCTAAATATGTTTTTTTCTTATTAAATAAGAATATAAACTAGTGGTGCTATAGAATGAAACAGACTTTCTCATACTAGTTAGTTTTCTAATAGCTTAATAGTTTTATAGTAACCCTTCTCCCAGTTGTTACCTACCGGCACTAAAACATTTTTTCACATTTTCGCAATTTTTCAGCCCCTAATACTAGTATTGAATTATTGAGTTATCGATGAACTTCATAAGAAATCGTTTGAAACCCTTGTATTCACAAATTAACTAATGTATAGAAAATGGCCCAATACAGATATTTTCGACGTTGGAGATAATTTACAAACATTTTTGTGCAAGTTTTGAGCAACAAAAATAATACATCGAAATAACGTATTTGTCATGTCAGCACTATCCTCCAAGAACTTTAAAGAAAAAAATTGGGGACGTTTTTGAGAATACGTCTTTTGAGCATTTATAAGAAAGCGAAAGTTTTAAACTTATTTTCCCTTAAAACTTTTGTGTTTTCGCGAAACTTCATAAGAAATTATTTGAAGCACTTTGACTCAAAAATTCAAAACCGTTCAAAAGATTTCAAGAAAAAATTGGAGACATTTGAGAAAACTATTGATGCTTCATGCAAGGTACCCCCAAAATCAAAATATCCCCTTAAAATTCAAGGGACCGCAACATCAGTCAGATCTATTGGGGAATATCAATTTTTGTTTAAATTCTGCTTACGGGTTAACCACTGGCATTGTTCACAGACACAGACGGACTCACGTTTTGCCATAAAGAATTCTTTGGTATTAAGGTATTATTCCATGAAGTAAAGAGACTCTAGTATTGTTACAAAATGTTGTCGCTTTCACGTATTACTTTTCTATTTCCTTTGTTGTCGGCTAGCTATTCGGACATGCCACATACTCTTGCCAGCTGCCGCCTAATACCGCTCAGAGTATTTTTTTTTCAATTTTCTTAATTTTTCGGTTTCCTAATAGTAGAACGAAAATATTATTTTAAGAATATTAAAAAACAGTAAAACCTCGTCCAAAATTGCATTTAAAAATAAATTGGTGCCGTTTTTAAGAAAATGGCACTTAAGCGCTACTGTAAATTCGAAATATGAAGCTCTATTTCAGAGAAAATTTTTGAATTTTCTAAAAATTTAATTTGAAGCACGTTAGCTCACAAATACAATAGTGTTTACAAATTGTGGAAAATGTGCATTTTAACTGCGTGTAAAATCTAAAAAATTACAAAAAATACAAAAAAATACAATTTTGTAATGAAGGAAAACAAACAAAAGTTATAGGGCCATATGACGTTTGTCATCTTATAGAGAACATTTAGCACTAATCCTACCAAAAGTTTAAAGAAAACATATGGAGCCGATTTTGATAAAATCGTGTTTTTGTAATTTTTTAAAAAAATGCACATATACACAGGCAGACAGACAGCGGGACAGCCGGACAGCCGGACAGCCGGACAACCGGACAACCGGACAACCGGACAACCGGACAACCGGACAGTCGGGCGGGCGTACAGGCGGACAGACATTCATAAAGCATCACCTCAAATAGACCCGCTATATTCGAAATATTTTTAAAAATGCATTTAGTTTCTTGTCATTGTGTTCACTTGTTGCTTGGAAATCAGGTAAGATCGTTTCGCGCCGTTTATTTTGATGGAAAGACGATACAAAAATTGGCGGCCTGTCACCGTCAATTAGCTTGTGTTCCGGATTGCTTCACTGTACGAACATTGATTATAATCAACGGGGCCGATATTAGACACAGGTTATTCGCGAGTGCGTGTGTGTGTGTGTGTGTTTGTGTTTGTGTGTATGTGTTTGTGTGTATGTTTGTGTGTGTGTTTGTGTGTGTTTGTGTGTGTGTGTTTGTGTGTGTGTGTTTGTGTGTGTGTGTTTGTGTGTGTGTATGTGTGTGTGTTTGCGCGCGCGCGTGCACGCGCAGTCTTGTCTCCTCAATACGCGCAGATGTGTCGTGTCATCAACCACCAAGTGTCTAACCCGTTTTTACATAAAACCCAAAAAGGTGGTCATTTCACCAAAAATGTACTTCGAGCAGTTCCGATGGCCAGATTAAATAGGAACTGAACCAAGGGCCAGCTATTATTTGTTCAAATACGAGCCTCCGCACCTGAGATGCTGCAGTAGGGCTGCAGAGCGCTCCGGTGCAGGTGGCCGGCGGTGAGCGTGAGGGAAGCGACGAGCAGCGAGGCGCAGTGGCACATGAGCGCCTTGGCGTGGGCGGAGCGGCGCAGCTCCGGCACCAGCGCGTGCACCACCAGCGTCAGCAGCAGGAACAACGAGCCCAGCAGGAACAGCAGGCTGACACACACACACACAAGGAGAGAATGCTTTCAAATGAAACCTTTCATGGTGGCTATAAAAAACAAGGCACTATGGCTTATGGGCGTCTTGGCCTCCACGGAACGCTGCAACTTGAGCACCAGCGCGTGAGCCACCAGCGGCAGCAGCAGGAAGACCGAACACCAGCGACCATTTGGGAACTTTGAGCTTCCTGGGCTATGGCAGTACCTCGCTGGAGGATATCTAAAGGGGAACACCACCACCTTCTAACTTTAATTATGTATGGGTGGGAATGGGTATATAATGATGTATGGGTGGGAATATAATCAAAGTAGTTGTTTTGGAAGTGAAAGTGGACAATGGCAGTGGAAGTGAAAATTGGACAATGAAGACTGCAAAGTGCTGAAATGAGATTTCTGATATCTGTAGCTGGTTAGTAGCTGATAGACAAGAAAACGAATGTAAAAATTCGTAAATAACTTTAGGTATGTAATCTTGAAGAGAAAATTAATTACTACCGATATTCCTGCACACAGCACAATGAAATGATACAAGGCAACCGCATACCGAAAAGAATTCTACAATACGAGGAAATCCTGGCAGCCTGAAGAAGAGATGGGGGTGACGAGATGGGAACGGAAGCGTAACAGGCAGTGTCTATGTATCTGAAGGAAAAGAAGGAGAAAAAAAGAAGAAGGAGGAGGAGGAGAATAAGGAGAAGGAGGAGATGAAGGAGGAGAAGAAGAAGAAGAAGAAGAAGAAGAAGGAGAAGGAGGAGAAGGAGGAAAAGAAGAAGGAGAAGGAGGAGAAGGAGGAAAAGAAGAAGGAGGAGGAGAAGGAGGAAAAGAAGAAGGAGGAGGAGAAGGAGAAGAAGAAGAAGAAGAAGAAGAAGGAGGAGGAGAAGGAGGAGAAGGAGGAGAAGGATGAGAAGGAGGAGAAGGATGAGAAGGAGGAGAAGGAGGAGAAGAAGAAGAAGGGAGGAGAGAAGGAGGAGGAGGAGGAGGAGAGAGAAGAAGAAGAAGGAGGAGGAGAGAGAAGGAGAAGAGGAGGAGGAAGGAAGGGAGAGAGAGAGAAGAAGAAGAAGAAGAAGGAGGAGGAGGAGGAGGAGAGGAGGAGGAGGGAGAGAAGAAGAAGAAGGAGAGGAGGGAGGAGAGGAGGAGGAGAAGGAGGAGGAGAGAGGAGGAGGAGGAGGAGAGAGAGGAGGAGGAGAAGGAGGGAGGAGGAGGAGGAGGAGAAGAGGAGGAGGAGGAGAGGAGGAGGAGGAGGGGAGAAGGAGGAGAAGGAGAAGGAGGAGAAGGAGAAGAGGAAGGAAAGAAGGAGAAGGAGAAGGAGAAGAAGAAGAAGAAGAAGAAGAAGAAAGGAGAGGAGAGGGAGGAGGAGGAGGAGGAGGAGGAGGAGGAGAAGGAGAAGTGGAAGAAGTAAAAGAAGTAGAAAAGTTGATGCGCCCGGAAATAAAAATGCTTTTTGGCTTGAGAAATACGCGCGAATTTTCATCATTTGAATCGGACACCCTTGGCGAGGACTACGTTAAAAGAGCGATGTAGCTGTTCCAAGCCGCAGGTATGGCGCACCTGTAGTAGAAGTTCTCCGTGTCCGGAGCCGCCGTGGTGCGTTTGTGGCAGAAGAAGACGTCGGAAATGACGCCGCCATGGCTCGTTTCCACCTCCACGTGGCACACGTGCTGCCGCTGGAATGCTCGCCCGTGGTTGTAGTTCTCGATGAGGACGCTGCCGTTGCGTTGGATCCAAAAAGAAAATTTCTTGTCTTCCGAATGAGAATTCAGGAGGTACCTGCAAAACACAATTGTTGAGAAATACATGTAGTTCATTTCTGTGCCACAATGTTTAAAAACCTTTTGGAATTTTGTAATGTCGGCGATGTATGGTAACTAAGTATTTTATTTATATCCACATCTGTTTTAATAAAAGTGGTTGATATTTTTCCTCGTATATAATTTTTTGAACGATTGTGATTCAAAGCAGACCAGATACTATACGTAATAAAGTTAGCTATACATATACCTATACGTATAGCTATACATATACGTAATAAAGTTTACTATACATATTAAATTTATTTGTTTATTAATAGTAGTTTATGCAATTAGTTTATAATATTAAGCTTGACTGCGTGAGTACACGTTTTGAAAAGGAATGTCGTTAGGGGCAAGTTTTCAAATTTGTACGAATGCAATAGAGAAATTATACATGAGTTGCATACACTATTTTTTGTATAGGAGCATTATAAATTTATAAGAGAATCAAACTTAATTTTGCGAACCAACTTTCTTGTGACGTTCCGGGTATTTGTCATCTGCGTAAGAAAACGGTGGTCGGCTTTTCCGTTAACCGCTACCTCCCCGCGATTCTCTTATTGCGATTAGCTGAATGTGTGATGAAGCAAGCATTCGTGCCGTAAAATGCTAATTCGTCATTTGTGATGTAAAATGCCCTTTCATTATAATTTATATTACAACTTCTTTCTACATCTTATTTCTCCAACTGGTTTGGAAATCTTCAGGATTATTATTGTCTCCATAACTGGTCATAAAATATCTGCAAGAAGAGTTTTTTCCAACAACCAAGAGTGAAAGAGAGTATATGGTCGGCCTAGCTTGTGTTAAGAATTATCAATTAAGAAAATCAGTCAAATCATAGATCTTGATAAATTTTACTTTCTGAACCTCAGAAATCTTCTAGTTGTTGTAGAATCGGAGAAAAATCAATGGGTGATATTTTCTAAATTTTCATTTGAGTACCGAATCAAAATTTACCTAAACTTTACTTCCGGATTTGTCTCAAATTTATTAACAACTTTCCCTTTAGACAAACTGTTCATATGGGTATGGGACGCGTGACTAACATTGCTGCGCCATTTATGCGAACGCCAATTTCCAGCATAATTCCGTCTGCAAGATCTTTGCAAGGGCATGCTTTTCCCTGTAGGTGGACACGAATGCATTTCCGTGAATTTACCCGTGTGCAGTTTTATCTAGAAGCCTTTACAAGATTGGATTCAGTCGTCTAGGCTTGTCTAAATTTGAAACATATCTTGGTCACTTCTATTAAAACGTATTTGTACGTTTTAAAACGTAGTTTCCCAATATTACTTCATCTTTCGTGTTCGAAATACGGAGGTGTTACTGAATGTGAAAGTGCAGTTAATGGAATTCATTTTTAGATCTGATCATCTCTCGGGCAAGGCTGGGTCTGCACAAACCTTGTCCTTATCTGAAATGAGAGCATGCCAAGAACTTACATTCCATAAATTGCGACTTCGCACTCGAGCGAATGCGCGAACAACTCTGTGTACACGACTCCCCCTCCGCCGCCGACACCAGTGTCGTCCGATCTGCCGGCGTCCGCGGTGTCGTTGAGCCTTTGCGTCCCACTGAAGAAGACCGGGTCCTTCACGGTGGCGTTGGCGTTCTCCACTTTCTTGCAGATGCTCTTCAGTTTTGTTCGGTTCCTCTCCGCCGCGTACATACTGTTTTTGTTACAGCACCGGTTGAGGCAAGTCACGCGTTGGCAGGGACAGGCCAGAAACACGAAGATCCCGCTCTTCACACGGTCCATGCACCATTCGTCCGGCGGCAAAGCCACCTGGAGGGGAGGAGAATTCTTTCTTTAGAACTAGGACTTCCCTCCCGCTTTGCTGGTCACAGAAATTAATAAAAACATGCTCAAAACTGGTACGGATTAGTTTAAGAATTTCCTTGATAAAATGTTTATAACTGTTTCACCTATTTCACTTCTTCCAATAAGCGTTACTAAGGATCTCATGAGGAGAGATTCTGTAGACTATTCCTCTCGTGAAAATAAAACCAATTTGTTTAACTATACATACAAAATGTCCCAATCAGTATCGCACTGTTATACCCAAGTTGGCGGGTTCAAACCCGATCAATGCCGTGGATTTGTAAGGGCGAAAAAATCCTTCGTACGCCTTCCTTCGGAGGGGAAGTAAAGTCGTCTGGCCCATGTTAGTAGATTTACTTGCATGTAAAAGATCCTCAAGCCTAAATGACGCCTCTGAGCTAAATTCAAATCGCCTGTTTCGTCGCCCAAGAAATACCTCCTTTCTCCGCTAGTTAGTGAAAGAAGCGTAGCGAAAAATTTGCGTGGTCAGACGAGACGCCTGTGTCTCGTCACGTAAAATAAGGCATTAATTCAATTCAATTTAATCAGGGCGACCCTCTACCTACTGACCAATCACAAACTGTGACTCATCTATAGGAGTAATAAATCGATCTTTATGTCGATGTCCAAATAAACAGCGTATGTACTACGTAACGTAACTTCTGATTTTAACATACTCTTTCAGTTATTTTCAGTATTTGGCGTATTTTGGAATTCTGTTGGAGATAATTTCACTCGTGGAATACTCCTATTAAATATAATATTAAATATATAAGAATACTCCTATTAAATATTACTTGCGCTTCCACTCCTCGCTTCGCGAGTCGGGAATTATCGACAATTTTCAAAGCACTCGTTACCTATGATAATTATACTGAAATATACACTTAAACGAGATATATCTCGAAAACTTATGATTTGCTAGTCTCAATATATTCGCTGATCATTAAAACGAAATGTTCACAATGATATTGCGTCAGGAAATGCTCATTTAAAAAATCATTGAGAATGGTTGAGCCATCCATTAGGAGCTGGCGATTAAAATCGTTATTACTCCTCCGCTTCCTGCTTACGCAGTATAAGAAAGTGTTTTAAAGCTGTGGGGGAAAACGGCGAATTTTCGATGGAGAAAACCCTTATTGCCGTACCCTGGTTACGAAAATGTGGATTAATCTTGTTCCTGTATATAGTAAACCTTTTCCTAACATATTGTGCTGTCAGACTCCACGTTTGGTGCGTCGTCGAGAGCCAAGAATCGATTGACGGCAAACGCTTGTCCGTCTGTCTCTGTCCTGATGTCGGAAGTGACTGATCTGTCTGTCTGTCTGAATAACGCTAGCGTAACCTTAAGTAGGATTTTCACCAAGACTGACATTCCCCGAACGATCAGACTAATGTCACGCCCATTGAATTTGAAAGGATATTATGATTTTTGTTGGTACTTAACATTTTCAAAATTTTCTGAAAGTAATGTTTAATTTCCCCCCTGTGATAGAGAAAAAGGCTCATAAAGAAATGACGTACGTCACACTTTCGTTGCCTTCTTTGAATTTTCGAAAATTGCAAAAGTTCAAAATTGAGTCGGCTTCTTCGTACAATTACAATAATGAATTAAGACTTTTACCCTTAATGAAATATGTTGATCAAAATCAGCTCTTCAAAAAAGATCAAATTCCTTTTTTGTCGTTGTTGTTGAAATATGGGCACCAGTTGCGTAATTTTCCGTGAAACAATTTGTAAATTTTACAAACAAAATCCCACGAAAAAGGCTCCAATTTTTTTCTGTATTTTTCCTCGTACGTAGAAAATTACTGTAAAGGAAGTGGTGCTCTATCAGTTTTGCGCACACATGTATTTTCAAAAATTGCAAAAAAAAATCGAAAAGACAAACTGCTACTCGCGAAGGCCAAACCGCCACGCACGACGACAGGACGGACAGAAAGATAAGCAGACGGATGTTTTTGCCGTAAACATATTTTTCGGAAATAGGAACCAACAATCGTGGATTCTGACTATATTGAATTGAATTGAATTGAATTGATGCCTTATTTTACGTGGCGAGACTCGAACCATCAAGCCCGCTCTTCCGTCTGACCACGCAAATTTCGCTACGCTCCTTTCACCAACTAGCGAAGAAAGGAGGCATTTCTTGGGCGAGAAACAGGCGATTTCAATTTAGCTCAGAGGCGTCATTTAGACTTGAGGATCTGTTACATGCAAGTAAATCTACTAACATGGGACAGCCGGCTTTACTTCCCCTCCGAAGGAAGGCGTATGAAGGATTTTTTCGCCCTTAAAAATCCACGGCTTTGATCGTGTTTGAACCCGCCAACTTGGGTATAACAATCCATTACACCATCGCCGCCGTCAAAACTATACAACAGTAGTACTACATATTGAAACAAGATTTATATATTTCTTCGGTGTCAGAGCCCCACAATTCCTATTTTTCTCTTTAAAAATTGCCGTTTGTTGCCATAACTTTATTATTTCTACATATATTATTCCGTATATACGTACGTATACGTGAAAGTAAATAATGATCATTGTTTAAATTGAATGAAAAAAGATTAATATTGTTTAAAAACTCTAAAACGGTGTTTACTTCGCTTGTTTTAATTCCAATTAAGAGATCTAAAACTGTTACGTGTTTTAAAAACAACGGCTTCTCAATGAAGAAGTGTCCAGCCGAGGGGCGAAGAGCGGACTCACCTTCACGGGCCAGCGGCCACTTCCGTCTCCGTCGGTGCGCCACATGGGCAGCAGGAGGCTGCCGTTGGCGAGCAGTTGGTACGACTCGTGGCGCACAGTATTAACGAACTGCGTTTGCGAGTAAGGGCAGGGACGGTGTCCGAACGTAACCCGCGCGCCCGCCCACTTCGCACCTGCCACCAACGGCAGTTGACTGTGCGTTTCCAGCACCGTCAAGTTGGGGTCGATCCAGTAAGGCAGTCCGTCCCTGAACATCACTTCATCTAGAAAAGAAAACGCAAGTTTTTATTTAGAGTATTTATTATTTTATTTAAAGAGGAGAACTGACAAGTCACAAGAGAGTCCATCAAGGCTATCTGAACCTCCCTCGAAAAGTGGGTGAAGTTTCCAGTACCATCTGGTTATGTTTTAATCAGTAGGGTAGCCATCGTTCAAAGCTGCGAATCGTTGAAATGACATTATTTTTATTTGTAACGGTGTGCAAATTCGGAGCAATGGTGAGATTGAGGTAAAATGTATACCATATTTCGGACATACAAGTACATGGCACCCCTCTTAATTTGCAACCCACTGATCGCCGATTCTTTGTTTGGACGCTTACTCACCTGGGGGCGTCGTTGTTGGCTCCTCGGTTGTCGTCATCAACACTGTGGTCGTGGGAAGTTCGGTGGCTGAGGACATTTCGGCTGACGAAGCATTTTCGGCGGTCAAAGCATTTTGGGCGGTCAAAGAAGAATCTGTAGCTGCCTTCTCTTTAAGAGCTGCGGTCACGGCACCTTCATACGGGACGCATTTTTTCAGCCAAGCGTCCAGTTGCTCATTGGCCCCGCAACACTTGTTGATGTGCATTCCGCCGTTTACGGAGGCACTCAACAGCAACAGCACCGCGAAGCACCTCGCATGCCACCGCAGAAACGTCGACCGCGATGACGATGTTAACGACCAAGGCGAGAATTGCGATGTCGAGGCCATTAGTGCTGAGGACGACGCCGACAGCTTCGTCCACATTGAAGACCGTGCAATGGTCGTTGGCAGTGCCTCCGACGTTATGATTTGACCTGAGGACCGAAATCCCACGTACTGTGGCCTTTACCTTTCAAGATCCCGGCTACAAAGTGCTGTTCGCTTGTTTTGAATCTGAAAAAAATTGAATTCTCAAGTGTAATGTATCATTTTTTACGGGGAAATACATGTTTTTATATTTTAAAACTAATGTTGAACCACATATGTCTGAATCCAAAGGAATCGTGACTTTGGATTACATTTCTAAAACAAATAAATTGATCTCGTTTTGATCGGTGCACGTTTGGTGATACCAGTTTGTTGCAGAACTAGGAGAACATTTGAGCTAATTTTAAATGGAACACATTTACATACGTCACTACCACAAAACTATGTGAGCAAAGTGCAAGTGTTTGGCATAATTGAAATGAAATTCTTCTAACATAAATTAAATATATGTTGTACTAGATTACGTCCATGCCATTAAACATCATTACATTAAACAATAAGACTCTATAGTTGACGATTCATTCCTTTCACAACAGAAATAGTGTGTATAAGCTTGTAATGTGAGATTAAGAAAATTTTTGTTTGAATTAAATTATTGTATTTCTGTTGAGATGTAGACTTTCCAGGTTTGATTTAAGAACATAGAACGTCCATCAAGTGTTAAGTAAATATATTTTAAATTATTTTACAAGACATTATTAAACATTTATTGTTTTTTCGGAAATCAGTCCCGGCAGCCTAGAGATTAGTAAATTACAATAGTATAGAGAGATTAGAGAGCAACAAATAAATTAAAACAATAAAATTGAGCAAAATAAATGTCAAGAATATTCGACCCTGGTCGCTTGCAGCAACAAAGATGCTCCGGAACACAACTACACAAAATGGATTTCAAAAAGATTGGCAGACTTCTCAAGAACAAATAAAATTCTTGCGTGTAACATTGCAACAAATTGAGTATTTTAACAAAAACTGTCTGTCACGAATTCTGCAATAACTTAGTATAGTATATACGGCCACATACAACATTTCTTCCCATTTTCATATTTTTCCAAGTAGTGACATACGTAAATACAAGAATTTAATCTGTACGCGCAGATTCACAATAGGCGGAGAAACACAATTATTTACTCTATCTTACGGTCAAAGTCGAAACTGTTTTCTCATTTTTTTTTATTTCACAGAGTTACTGAGTATCTAACGAAACCGTAGACCTTTCACATGGCCGTATGCTGTATTTCTTTCAATTTCTACGTGCATTGTAATTTGGATATATAGATAGCAAAACAATATGCAAAACGAATTGGCAATAGAAACTGTAATTGGTGCAATGAGCTGCAACCCGCCAGACACAGCAGTCTGCCCGTGCGCCAAGCAGTATGAGAACCGAAACTGATTTATTGTTTTGGCGTTTTTTCCTTATATCCTGGGTGTCTAACAACATAGATATCTCTCACATGAACATACATTGTTTAGTTTTCCCTCAAGTTCTGCGCGAATACGGAGTTAGTAATATCATTATTATTTTATAAGACCAGAAAATTTCACCCGGATGAAGAGATTTTGAATAACAGCCCCAGAGAATTTCACTGTCCGACTCACATACACCAACTAATAAGAAGGAAGAGAAGCATGTTGCGAGGTCTGTAATAAATAATTCAATGCAAAAGTGTTTTGTATTTGTATGTAGCCATTATATGTCCCGCAAAGGGCAGTTGGCCTCGACGCCGTTAGATCACGGACTTAGTACCTACTCAGTGACCCAACACCTTCGTGACTTCACGTAGTTAACGTATTAGGTTAGAGACGCTGGTTTCGTGGTCGTGGACGTTCAGTACGACTATACCAGCATTCGTCACGAAAATCCCGGTCAGGATGGCCGGCACGGGGCCTCCCGAAGGCGAAGTCAGCACTCAGCGGCCTGAGCCACTTCGCTCAGTGTTTTATGAGAGTTCACATACATTACTGGCTTGGAGAACTAATCATTAACCGCACAACTGAGGAAAAAACTGTGATGTGATTACTGAAACGCAAGTGAAGAAACTGACGTATGTCATTTGGCTCAAAAGAAATAACGAACGAATGCAAAATATTCGATATCCACTTAAGGCACCGGCTGTGGTGTGACACTCGCTTGGATCGATGAATGACGCAGCGTCTATGGCCTCCTCTGCCTTCGCGGCTGGCCTTTGCCTGCGACTCTACCGGAGCTCTGGTGCTGTTAGAGCAGAAAGACCATGCGTAATCAGGCAACTGAGAAAAACCATTCGAGGAAGTGGTGTAAAAAGACACGAGACCGGCGTAAGTTACTGAACAAGTGGGCGACTTGCAAAGGAAATAAATTTTCATAGGGGAGTCATCCTTTCATGGAAGCGATCTATAGGAGAGAGAGAGAGAGAGAGAGAGAGAGAGAGAGAGAGAGAGAGAGAGAGAGAGAGACAGAGACAGAGAGAGACAGAGACAGAGAGACAGAGACAGAGAGAGAGACAGAGAGAGACAGAGACAGAGACAGAGAAAGGAGACCATAAATTATAGATAGAGATATAGAGATGGAGAGGGGTAAGACAATATTGGGAAGTCTGCAAGGTAAATCGCTAAGAAGTGTATTGATGTGATTGGGCGATTAGAAAAAGAATCTAACAGGAAGAGGGATAACACACCACACACTAACACCTTACAGGCGCAACACTATGCCAGCAAAAACAAATATCCGAGAGTGCTCTGTTGCCATGATAATTGAGAAAGAGAAGTAGAGAAGGAAGGAACCCTTCTCACTACCGTTTACGACAAGTGATTTTGAAACAAAATGCTTCGACATTGGTAATTTAAACGAAATCGTGGTGTACACTAGGGCTATGATCTTTTTAAACGTTTGTCAAAATATTAAGTTTCATGCTGATGTTGCATGTGCTGAATTTTGGTCTAGTTATCCCGTTGTTTTGTTATTATTTTAGTTTGTTTGTGAAAAACCTCCAGCGGCCAATATAATTTCATTTATGAGATATAGGATAATAAAGAATTACATTTGTTTGGAACCGTACTTCCTCAATTGTCTTTTCTAATATATTTATTCTCAGACTAGAACATGCTGTTTAAAAGTTAACAACCCAAATCTGTAGTGGAATCGGCTGGTTAGAAATGGACAAAAAAATTGACAACTACAAAGCACCGACCCATCATACCAGCAATGAACTAGTGCTACATAATGGCACGGACTTTCTCGTATTAGTTTTCTATTTTATTTTGTCTGGGTTAGCCATTCGGACTCACCGCCCAAAGTACATTTTTTTGAAATCTTCTCAATTTTTCTGATTCTTAACCCGTCAACGCCCACTGTCGTCATTTGACGTTTGTCATTCGGACGTTTGTAAATTCATGAAATTACACTTTTATTTTGAAATCTATTGACGTCTTTGTTACAAATTTTAAAGTTATTATTAAATGGATGTGTTTCTTGTAGTATTTGAATGTGGACTGTAACAGAAATAAAATCCAGTGAATTTTTTTATTACACCAAAAATTAAAACATTCCAAAAGATACATATTTATACAAAAATGGTCCTCGGAAAAATATTCTTCATTATATGAGGAAGGAATTTCTTTCACTAAAATAATAAATATATCTTAGTAAAAGTATCTAGAAAACGAAAATAAGACGTTATTCAAAGTAATTATAAACAGGGCTTCACAAAAGACCAATAAATTTAGGTGTCGTCAAATGACGACAATGGGCGGATGTCACTACTGCAGAATGTAACCTCCCGCAGCCGCGACGATGGTTACGTCCAGACAATGTGAGAATGTGTTTGCAGTTGCAGCGGTTGTAACCGACCAGTTAGAACCCTGTTTGTCTTCAGATCGCCGAGAGAGAACATGTGAACCCATTTTTACGAAAATAATATTCACAACTATACACATAAAGTAAGTTTACTTTCAGTTGTTGTTTTTTTAGTATTTCATCAATTCTTTCGGGCATCTACATGAAATTTATCAAACAAATGTTTCTTTGTAAACGTACCTAAAGTGGCGATTCGACGCTACGAGAGGGCTCTAGAATTATCAGAAATTAGAAGAGTCGGGTGACGATGAAGCAGAGGTGGTGGTCATTGCCCCTAAAGTTGACGAGCTGAGTGACGTGGAACATATTGACGACGACGTGTCTCGATGACGATGCTCTTGCTGAGGATGCCGTTGGTACTTTGGAGCTTCATTGCGCCCTCAAAACGGCAAATAATACCAATAGCAGGTCGCTTGAGGAGCCAAAAGTAGTGAATCCGCAAAATACGTTGCCTGAAGAAACAACACCCACCACGTCGGTTGGGACAAGCAATGCAAATGTCAAAGCTGAGGGAACAAGGAAAACAGCAAAGGAAAGGATTCTCAGATCCAACGAAGCTCACTGGAAGAGAGTGGTGCTGGCTAACAGTTAATTCAAAGATTTTCATACAAACTGTGATAAATTGATTCAGTCATTGAATGAAAAGTACCACGCTCATTCACCCTCTGAATTATTCGAAGAAATATTTGATGGACAATTATTTACATTCATTACAAAAGATTCAGTACGCTATGCGTCAAATAAATATGAAAGTAATTTTGTATCACAGTTGAACTGAAAATGTTTCTGGGAATTCTGTTGTCTGGATACAGAAAATTGCCTTCAGAGAGAGCGTAGCCAAGACAATGATGTAGGATGTCTAATTGTAAAGAACGCAATGAGTCACAACGAGAACTTGAAAATAAAATTTATGATTCATTTTTAAAACAATGAGCTCGCAAAGAGTAACGATTGGGGTTATAATGTGACGCCATAATTCGAGCTAACGTTCACAAATTTGTTATTTTTTAACAAAATCTTGTAAGATAAATAACTTCTGAAAGAATAGACTCAATAAGGTTATTCGTGGATGTGCTGCTGGAGATTTGAATGATCTAACCTTAGGCTCGAGAGGGGTACGGAGTATTTTAGGGTGCGTCTCATCACCACAAAAGCACGTTATATGTTTTGACAACCTATTCACTAGTCGAGATTTACTCATTCATCTTGCTGACCAGGGCTACAGGGCAATGAGAACGCTTCGTGAAATCACTTGCAGAAATGGCCCGTTGACAATGCGAAAATGCTAAAGGAAAAAAGAGAGGATCGTTTGACTGTTATTTAGATCAGAACGGTGATCTCTGTTGCGAGGTAGAATAACAACAGATATGTCACGTTGGCTAGAACTTTTAATGACGTTACTCCAACAAAATCTGTGCTTCTGTACGTAAAACAAGAAAAATGGGCTGTTCCTCAACTAATATTGATACACAAATACTACGCAGGACGGGGTGGTGTAGATTTACATGACTGGTTGGCTGGAAAAAACCAAACTAACATCGGAGATAAACAGAGGCATTGGCCCATATGCTTAAGACCTTTAGTCATGGCTTTAGAAAATTGCTGGTTGATGTACAAGCAAATGCAGGGCTTAAAAACAAATCTCGCTGCTGGAATACAGAAGACATGTCACAATTGCACTACTACTTGCAGTCTTCGCTTCACTCGAGCTCCAAATACCTCACATACAGTTCCCGATCCCATATATAACGGCACTAACAATTTCATCTCAAAAAGGAAAGAAGCGCGCAGAGAAGCAGAGAACTTCAGGAAGAACATGAAGCACATATTTCATGAATCTCATTGCGCGTAGAATTTTTTTATTGCTACCAAACTCGTTAGCATCAATCTAAAATGAATTAATATAAAAGAAATGTTTTCTGGTTTCGTTTACTATATTATTTCAGAAGTATACATGCCTTTTGCGGCTCTCACAAGCAGCCAATCTTTATAAATGAGGTCTATAAAGAAATTAACTTTCACAAAGACGTGACGAATAGTATTTTGACTTTGAAAATGCGAGGATTTATTGAAAAAACGTATCTAAATATTCATATTAAATGCAACCCGCAACGTACAGGAGGACTGTCAAAATGTATGTAGTAAAATAACTTCTAAACAAATCGTTGTAGAGCTACCTGAGGGGCAGAAGTGTCAGTCAGAACCAGCAATTCGTGTAAAAACGAGTAGTTTTGTGGAATATAACAATATTATATGTAATTATATTTTTCTATTAATTTGCAAATTGTTTCTAGCGGTACCAAAATGCTGATTTACAAAATGTGACTGCTGTACTAATCCAGCAGCCATTGTTGCTTTACTCCGGGAAACGCCGCGTCCAAGCTGCAGGTGCACCTGGCACTTGTGCTTTGGACACGGCGTCTCCCGGGTAGCCAAGTAAATACTGACTACGGCCGCGGATGCCTACGCTCCATTGTTGCTATGACCACGAAATAATTATAGACGTTGTTATTGCCAACAATATTATTTAATGTAAGAGTAAAATAACTTCTAAACAAAGCGTTGTAGAGCTAGTAGTGGTTTTGTGGCTTCCATCCAGCAGACAACTGACGATGGCTAAGCCATCGAAAGCTGCTCTTACATTAAATAATATTGTTGGCAATGACAACGTCTATAATTATTTCATGAAAAATGCCAACGATAACACACCACAACACCTATATGCTATGACCACGCCGATTGGTAATAGAAGGTGGTATGGCAGCCGCTGCTGGTTCGCGTATTATAAATGGATAATTTTATTTACAACTAAAATTTGCCACGGGCATCGTTAGTTATGTAGAGTTATGTAGAACGTGAATACACTGAATTAATTGGCAGAAAGCTGCTTTTGTTTAAACTTTTGTATTAAAAATACATGAATTTTTTCGCCATTCGTTTAAGAATTTTTCAAATGGTGGCTGAAGTGTGACATAGAGATTGTCACTTTATAATATTACATACACATTAACAATATTGCGAGAAAATATTGCGCCACAAGTTTAAAAACAATTTACTTGCAAGGTTTTTCAAGGTGCCTCATTTTTGGCTCCCCTGTACTCGAATAATTTTCGAATTTCGAAAAACTGATTTAAAGATCATTTGGATCTGTTTAATTTACTAATGCACTAATCCATGGAATATATTTATAACGCAAACAGCGTTACAGCTCTTCAAGTTATGCTCACAGTTTTTAAGTCTCAATAGACTAATGTTTTAATCGAAGTATAAGGGAGGGAGAGGTATTCGAAAATTACATGCGTGTACTTTTTCAAAATTCAAAAGTTGTAAAGAAAATTAAATTTGCTCTATATAATTCAGTCCATGGTAAACTATCCTTACAAAAAGTTGGGCCGTTTTGTGAAAAATTCTTCTTAATTTAATTTTGAAAATTTGCTTGTTATTACATTGAAACTTACGTAGTTTGAGGGAGGACTTATGGAGACTCCCCTTCTCCTCCTCCTCTGCCCCTTCCCCATCCACCCTTCCCCCTCCCAATGCTATGCTTCTCAACGGGTGTTCCGTGTACCCTACTTTAACCATAATCCCAATGATTTCATCCGTAAGTGTAATATAATGGATCAAGGTTTGCTAGAGACTTCTCAATTACATCAAATGTTGTTGTCTTGAAAAGTGTTAACAACATAATATTACATTCTTAATTGAAATTTTCAACATCCAAAACATCTTAGTAAGAACAACTTATACTCATTATTAGAAACACAGACCATAATTATACTTATTACGATTGACCATGATTAACTAGTTGATATTTGTGACTATTTTTATCATTTTTACAAGTTTAGATTAAAAATTACCGACCCTACAGTAACATGTTGATGACAAATGTAATCAAAGTTTCATTAAAAGAATTGTTAATGCCTGTACTGTGTATTTGGATTTGGCCAAATTGTTTTGATGATTAATTATTTCGAAATTGAATAGATTATATTGTTAAGTACTAATCTATTTTATCTTGATAGGAGGTAGTATTATTTATTGAGTGTAAGGCTGAGGTGCAGAAAATGCTACTTGTTAAGAAATAACGTTAGTGTAAAAATTGCCTCTATCAGAATGAAAAAATCTTTATTCTCTTGCTGATAATTAGAATTCCAATTTTTAAACTCTGTGTATTGAAATTATTGCACGTATTTTTGTCCGTTCAAGGTAGTATTGAAAGGCACAGACTTTTCGAGTGAGACAGTAAGCATCATATTTTCATCTGCATTTGAAAACACTATATTCTTTACAAAAATGTTCATGTTATAATGTACTTTCATTTCGATAACATCCATTTTCGGACTAAAAATACCAATGAATAATTCGCACATTTGTAAGTGAAAACATTCTTACGTATCATATCAAAAAAGTATAGATTTTTGGAAGGTTAGCGGGAGACAAACACTACGCAGTGCCTTCTAATAAAAAAAGTATGCACCAAAGAAGTGACATCTCTAAAATAATTTTCCATCAAGTTTAATCTTCAACGGGGACGTTTATTTCGCGCCAAAAGTCAAAACCTTATATTTTATATGTTGACCTATTTTTGACATTACTAGCGAAAACTGACTATTTTCTAAACATATTTCTTAACTTACAGTGAGGGTAAAAATATTTGAATAGTATTTTTTTAACAATTTTATAACATTACGCAATAATTACCTTTTTTCAACACGATATTCTGCCTTTCTTTGAAAACTCAATTCCAACGTTTCCCAGTGTTTTCCTTTTACTAAATCTATCAATGATTCCAAGGTTTGAATTCGTAGTTCGATTTGTATTTGCCTGATTGTGATTTCTCTTTCTACCAGAGTTGTTTCTTTTTCTTTACGACCCATTTCTTCTTATTATAACACAGCCCATCGAATAAATTCCTACGCAAGGCTGCTAGATTCTACAGCCTTCTTAGCGTTACAAATTCCCCATGAGTCAGGAGCATGGGAAAGTGTTACTGTTATCCATTGGTGTTCAAATACTTTTGCGTCCAAGTCTTCGCGTACCACAACATTTCAACCGTTCTGACTGCTTTGGGCTTGTGTTCTTTTTTTGTTTTTTATTAATTTTTCCGTTAACACTACGTTGAAAACATTAAATTGATATTAAGTTAATTATTGCGAATTCTTACAATAAGTTAAAGATTCACTAGTGATCAAATACTTTTTAATCTCAGTGTAACTGAAACAAAATGAAACGACGATTTTTGCGATGTCAGTCTTCTCGTGAAACGACAATGCAATATCTGCGTAATTGGAAAGCGGAAAATGTGAAAGTAAATTTGCCGGTCATGAGTACAAATGACATTATGAAAACCGGGAAGTTCCCAACCAAATCATTTGACTTACTTGAAACATCCTTGACAAAATTGCACGAACAATGGACGAAACTTTTCTCAAGATTTACAACACCAACTGAACAATTTGAACACTTGTTTTTACCAGATACAATGAATATATCTCTGAATAATCTAAAATGTCTAGTGTTTATTCTAAAATAACCACTCAAAAATACACCTCTTGAAGCGGAACTTATTGTATTGCAATGTTCGTTTTCAAAAGTAACACTGCTATAACAAAACAATTTTGAATATAAATTCTTGTAAACTTGCTTATGTTGATCATCCACACAGACTATCACAGCACGTAAAAATCACGTCATTTTAGAATGCAAAACGATTTCGGTTCACACGATGAAAAACACGTACTACAAACAAAATACACTGCACATCACAATTCACAATGACATTTCTTTTTAGACTACCAGCACACAAAGTTGTCTTCAAATATTTTTTGCAAATGTAGTCGAAGTCAAAATAGTCGAATAAAGAAGAGTTTCGATGGTATAGTGCCGTGCACAACATTAGCATCTACACTACATTATAGCGTTACAATGACAGCGAGCTCCGAATAGATGGCGTTTGCGAACCCGTCGCTGCGCCTGTTTTGAAGCGGTGCGCTTGAGGCGCCGCGTTGCGTGGCGCGACTACCGCGTCACTGGAGGCCGGCCGGTCGACTGGAGGAAATGCTGCCGCCGCAAACAGCACGCAGAGGAGGGGGGCCGCGACCTTTCTCTGCAAGGTGGACGGCAGGCGGTGCGGCTTCCAGGCGGCCGGGGCCAACTCATCGTCCACGCCAGCGTGCGTAGCAGCGAGGCGCGTATCCACGGCGGGGGGGGGGGAGGAGGAGGCACCCCCTCTCCCCCGTGTTCCGATCATCTTGAAATACAGCTAGGTAGAGGAACTGTTTGGCAACGTACCTATACTTCGATTTTTTTAAACGTGGAGTCTCAAGGTCCACACGAGAAAATGAGTGTCCAATAGGGAGCTGCATCGTCACTACAGCTCCTATTTGTACGGCTCCCTATTAAAGACTGCCATCTCTCTCACTTTTTCGTGCGTGACCTAGAGACCCACATAAAAATCGAAGAAGGGGAATGAAAGATCGCGCGCGGTCTGTGGCCCGTTTGTTAGGGTACAGCTCTGGCATTCGCTCAGTTTCAGCGGAGAAACCACGGAAAGCTGCCGATTCGAGCAGTCAGTCGCTAGCAGTCTCCTCCAGGCAGCGATTGAATTCGACCTAGTAGCTGACAGGCCAGTGTGTAAAATCCTTCCGTCATCGGGATTCGAATCAAGAACCTCACAGTCAGAGGCATTGTAGTGATGAGAGTACGATAACGGAACGATCGAGAATAAGGCAACGTAATGCTTGAGAATGCTTTTGAACATACGCTTGCACAGCTATAATCAGGAGGGGGTCAATTGCAATTATATTTCCTTTCTCCAATATTTTTTTAGTTACATGTGACAGTTTAGTAATAAATAAATACGACGTACGACAAAGAGAAGACAAAGTAAAGTTATAACTTTAGTAAAATTTTTTTTAAAAAAAGGCATTATTTACCAGGCTGTCCGGGTTCTGTTAAATCATTCACAGAGTTGACAGGTATCTGGGAGAACCTTATCCCCAAATGTCATGTCATGAAATTAATTTACTTGATGTGTTAAACTTCAGTGATTGTGTGCCCTTTCCAGGAACAAATTCATCGGTCAACGAGTGTTCAGATACGTTGTTCGACGATGTAGAACGACGTTCAGATAGGCTGTTTTTCCCTTTTTTAAAAGGTATTTCTCCTTGCTCGACAGAGTTTTTCAAGGGTTTTAATGACACATAAGATAAGTAAATGACATTTTTGAATTGGCTGTCCATAAGGTATGAGCGGTTTTTACTCTGACTTTATTATTGATTAAATTTAATTGCTGAATAAAAAGAGAGTGGGGTAAATGGTTAAGTTAAGGAGCTGAGGCTGTTATGGTTTAAGGGGGTTTGAATCTATCTTTGAGGAATCTTGACTTAATGCGTGGATAGACCGCCTTTTTTCCTATGTTATAAATAATGGAATTGGAGAGGTATTCAGGTTGTGGTAAAAATTGTTAGCTAATTTGGCTATGGTTTCTTCCAGTTTTGGAATTTTTTCTTCTCGATGAATTTGTTCATTTGTAATGAACCAAGGTGCATTTCGGGTATTTCTTAGAAATATATTTTGGAGCCCCGGCGTGCCCTCCGCTTCCCGACCTAACCGCTCGCTGCTTGGGCATTCAGCGAAGAATTGTTGCCAAAGGCCAAGGCTAACTCGCGCCCCGAGGGCTTATACTTCGTCTGGCGTCGGCAGCGAATGTTCTCTGCCAGTGCCGGCTCGCGGGCAACTGAGTTGGGGCTCGAGGCTGTTTGAAATTACAATGCACTTTTTGCGGTTCGTTGCTTCCACACTGCTTAGTTAAAGTCCATTGCGAGGACCGCGAAAGAAACTGCCACGTTCTGAGATACTGCAAGAAACTCTACGAAGTCTCTTCTGATGAAGACTGATGTTGCACGCTTAACATTTTTCATTTCGTAGTGAATGATATGCTATAAAACTGTTGTCGTGTCCAGGAACGTATGACAAAAGCGGTTCGATCAGCGATCAGCGATCGACCACTTGACTCTCACACTTCTGTATATGAAAACTATTTGGACCTCGAAATGTAAGAATATCCTATATTTCAGTTTTCTTTTGATTATCCTGTTCCAGATGTACAGTTTTTTTGTTGTGTGAACTACTGTCCTAGTTTTTTATGCGTGGAATATTTTTGCACAACTGATATATTGCGATGTACGTATTTCAGAGCGTTTTTAATATGATTTTCCTTTGAATCCTTTAACGTTCATTGCTGAAGCCATGAAGCTGAGCAAGTTTAGTGTGAGGGCGAGAACCAGTGACGCAACCCCAGTGGCCTTAGATGAGACTGAAAGGGGCATAAAAATTTACGTTCCGACGGATGTTGATAACATTTTCCTCTCTTTTTACTATGCCTCTGCCGAAAATTTTCATCTTTGTTTTGACATTCGCACAATGTTTGCTGTTTTTTCTTTCTTTTTCCTTCTTTCTTTTTAAATTAGAGGGAAGATCCATATTTTTATTGTTTATTTATTTACTTATTTATTATTCTGCTTTTTTGCACCAGGAGACACGTTAAGTGTTTCAGGAGACTATAACTTGTTATTTTTCTGAAGCGCCGACCATCCACGAGATTTTCTGAATCAATGGCTGTTGAAGGATGGGTAATCGGTCAATTTCTCGACCATTAAGATGAGAAAGAGAACGAGAATGGAGGAAAGGATTGCATGCGGTCCCTGATCCTAATTCTAGGATGCTCCAGGATTTAACGAAAAGTGACCACGGAAAGCGATTATCAGAATCTTCGGCGTAGGAATATGATTCTGACACGCGTCACAAACACACCTAGGTCGATCCGGTGGCCGAGATAACTAAGGTAGTAGTGCCTTAACGATCTCAGACCGAAGGATTGCGTGTTTGAGTCCCGCCTCGGGCATGGTTGTGTTGTGTTCGTCCTTTCTCCCCCTGATCATCTTCATATCGTGTCATTCCTCACAGTTACCATACCGTTACAAGCAATAGTGGTCGCTAATGACCTAGACGTTGATGCGACCTTAAATAACAAAAAAAAAAAAAAACTCACCGATGTTAAAGGCTTGGAGCAAATCTGGCATCTGACCGTCATCAATCCTGCGCCGTTCTAATCACAGGTGCGATCGAGACGTAACGCGCTGCTACGATAGTGGGCATTACAATTGAAAAAGAAAGATTGTGTAAAATATCGGTCGATTGTTTACTGGGGGTATTGATTGCCTAAAGTTCTCCAACGCTTCAACTATTGTAATGCAAGTTTTTAATATAGAACAAGTGTTTGAATTTAATAATATTCATAGGACAAACGTGTTATGTCAATTATGTTTAATATGTAATGCTTATAATCAATAATCCGAATCATTGTTATGCATTTTAAACTTAAATATGTTATTTTAAACATATAGTCGATGTATGTAGTAGCCGAGACAAACCTTCCGTTCAGGATCGCAGTATGATCTCCCACAGTACATCATGCATTCAATACATTTTTACTTTCCCGCCTAAATACGCGAATGTAGTAAATAAAATGTGTTATAATGTGGAGACGGAAATCGGAAATTTTTTTATAGAAAAACTCGTATTGATGGGTTCTAGGGGTGAAGTGGATAATTTATGTCCCTATACACATTGTTTATTTTTGTGGTAATGTATAATACATAGATTAATGTATATAACACTATATTTGCTACAAATTCTTAAATCTACTTAAAATTAACTTACAATCATCTTACTACCATGGTGGGAAAGGTATCTTTACATGATAACTCAATTAAATACAGTAAATTAAAGATGTCAGGTATCAAAAAATATATTTTGCTAAAGATCGTGTCAATCGCGTAGCGATCATCCTCAGAGCTAAAATTAAAATTACAGAAATAAAATAACATTAATACATGAATAATAAAAATGAAGTATACGTTATTACAAAATATATACAAAATGTTAATATTGTATGCCAGATGTGTAAGCAAACTGGGTCGTACATACCTTCCAGCTTCCGGGCCGAAAACAAAGTTCTGTTGTTTTTGGAGTTTTTATTTAAGAACAGAGAGACAGTCGACAGCGGGTGGGGGCGGGGAGAAGGGTGGGATGTGGGCGAAGGGTCGTGAGACGCAGGGGTACTGGTAGAGGCTTGAGGAGGAAAATTGAAATTTGAATTTTCCACGAAAAGATACAATTTGCCAGCGTCTAGGACAGTAATAGATTGTACCTTCCGTCTAATAAATTAATTTTCGCTATGAAACCATCTGAATAACAGACCATGCAGTCAGGGGTAAAGCATCTGGTCTCTGCCTACAACGTTGGAAATTTTCTTAGTTCTGTCGAGGATGGTCAATAATGGAATGTGGGATCACCCCTTCGCTCGATCTCAGAATGGGAGTAGAGACTGGATCGGAAAGGAAGGATCGCACAAGTCACGTGGCCCGTTGTTAAAGTCATTGCTTCGGCATCCGTGTGGAATTATCATAGACAATACCTCCAGTGCTTTGAAAATTATCGATATATCCCCGACTTGCTAAGCGAGGACGGGATTAATCCAGGGGTTAAACAACATTGGTTTCAATTTCACGAGGGTAATAGTCAATAAAAACTGTCGAAAAGATCGGTCAGTGAAGTGGGCCTCTCACACAGCTAGTGGTTGGAAGTAATCCATAGTGTTCATAGTGGTCCACGAGCTTCGTCGGTGTTCAGACCGAACACCTCCGGGTGTATGAGGATCCCATTGCAGAAACGGAATTACTACGTCTACTATCGCAGTTGGTAAACCACTGTTTTACGTCAGGTGCCCGTAAAACTATTTTTAATTGTTACTATAACAGTTGTCAACTCCTGGAATCTGTATGGAATAACGCGGATCCTTTCCCCAACCAACATGCATAAAGGCAAAGACAAACACCATTTATTTATTTATTTATTTATTTATTTATTTATTTATTTATTTATTTATTTATTTATTTA